TAGAGGTAAACATACAGGATTAGTAATTCAAAGGTACAATTCACAAATATTAAAAAATTATTAGAAGGAAGGCATAGTTTTTAAGGTAAAATTATATAGTTAAAAAATAAGATGAAATTTGTTAATTTTCATAATTTTCAGTAGTTTTCTCTAACTTCAGTAGTTTTCTCTAACTGACCATGTTTTCTCTAACTGGCTATTCGGGCAGTTCGACTAAAATATTACAGTGCTGCTACGATGCGTGATATTTCAGACTGTGCGAATAATCATTGTGTTGTATAAATTTCATCCATTCCAGTGAATATATAGGCTAAGCAAAGAATTTGCAGGGATAAGGATAATCTCAGAAAAATTAAAAACAATTAAGGTAATCCGCGACAACTCTAAGGAAATTTAAAGAAATTTTCAATAAGCTTAAAATTAAATTTATTCAAATAAACAAGCATTACCCGTACAAAAAAATTATTTTGAAAAATATCTTATGAGGAGTAAACAAACTATGCTTTAAGTACGATACCTGCCACAATGACAAATAGATTTGCTTGTCAATCTTGTTCAGTTAAAATTGTTCATCACACCTTGTTTCTTTAAGTTATTACCGAGACAGTTCCTCTAATTAATTACAGGCTGACTGAATACACTTTATGATACTTCAATTGATTATTCAGACCGAATGCCCAAGCGGCTTTAAATTATTACCTGAGTCTTATCTATGCGACGACCCACACTATTCCTTGTGAGTAGCCAACCTGCCACTATGATTATGTTTCATAATATTTCGAAAAAATATTCAATTATGAAAAAACGAGGAAAATGTTTAAAACAATTTAAGAATGTGTTGAACATTTTCCTCGTTTTTTCATAATTGAATATTTTTTCGAAATATTATGAAACATAATCATAGTGGCAGGTTGGCTACTCACAAGGAATAGTGTGGGTCGTCGCATAGATAAGACTCAGGTAATAATTTAAAGCCGCTTGGGCATTCGGTCTGAATAATCAATTGAAGTATCATAAAGTGTATTCAGTCAGCCTGTAATTAATTAGAGGAACTGTCTCGGTAATAACTTAAAGAAACAAGGTGTGATGAACAATTTTAACTGAACAAGATTGACAAGCAAATCTATTTGTCATTGTGGCAGGTATCGTACTTAAAGCATAGTTTGTTTACTCCTCATAAGATATTTTTCAAAATAATTTTTTGTACGGGTAATGCTTGTTTATTTGAATAAATTTAATTTTAAGCTTATTGAAAATTTCTTTAAATTTCCTTAGAGTTGTCGCGGATTACCTTAATTGTTTTTAATTTTTCTGAGATTATCCTTATCCCTGCAAATTCTTTGCTTAGCCTATATATTCACTGGAATGGATGAAATTTATACAACACAATGATTATTCGCACAGTCTGAAATATCACGCATCGTAGCAGCACTGTAATATTTTAGTCGAACTGCCCGAATAGCCAGTTAGAGAAAACATGGTCAGTTAGAGAAAACTACTGAAGTTAGAGAAAACTACTGAAAATTATGAAAATTAACAAATTTCATCTTATTTTTTAACTATATAATTTTACCTTAAAAACTATGCCTTCCTTCTAATAATTTTTTAATATTTGTGAATTGTACCTTTGAATTACTAATCCTGTATGTTTACCTCTAATTTTTGAAACTTATATTTACGAATTTTTTCAAATTGTACTTAAATTTTCATCACATGTCTAAAAGCCTAGAAGAAGAAAATAAGAAAAGTGAACTATTTGAAAGAGAATTTTGATTCAGTCAATTTTTGGTTCAGCCATTTCTTATTCAAAGAGAATAATGCAACATTGGTCCGTGCACACACCACAAAGTACGTTTGTATAACAAATTCCAATTTAACTAGTTTATCTAAGGTCTGATGGTACTACTTCACATCTCTGGTACTACTTTACACCTCGTGCAACATCTGTGTGAAGAAAGTTTCATTATAACAAAAATTTTTAAGTAAAATATATTCATTCTCACTAAGTTGTATTTTTAGAATGAGCTTAGCTAAACTAATTGAAAATCAGAAAATTATTAAGATACATGAACACTTTAAAACTACTACAAAATTCCATCTAACTAAAGGAATATTTGAGTATGTGATAATTAGTGACTTTTCTGACATCAAAAACATCATGAGAATAATTATCCAGAATTGTATAGAAAAAACAATTGGAGAAGGCATTAAAAACAAAATTGAGCCTGATACTTTAGGTTGTATTGTGAGTTGTGATCTATTTTATGATGATGTATGTAGTCCAATATGTGAAATGTCTAATAATAATACTTTGGACGACATTCTAGATGGAATTATAGGAAAAGCATATTTACTGAGGGGTGAACCTTTTACTGTGACAGTCACTGGAGTAAATGTGAAGGGTCTTCCTAAAAGAACATCTTTTAACAATGTGTAATAATATATCTAACAAATATTAAAATTAATGATTATTCTCGTGTTTCAATTTATCTGTAAGACATTAGTAATAGTATTGTTGCTAGGCTTCAATAATAATCGAAAAGAAATATTTTCTATGTTATTAAGTCTATCACAAAGTAATAACTTCTTGTCAACAACATCCTTAACACACTCACAAGCCACTCAGGCGCACCACGCTCTCTACACATGCACGCCCTCGCACGTGCATACGAAGAATTTAAGAAAATTGACAAAATTTCATCTTTTTGGGAGATTTTTTGTCCAGATGAATGGTAAATTTACGCGCACCCTCAACACACGCGCCAAAAACACACGCACATCCTTTGCATACGCGTGTACACTGAAAAATAAGGAAATTGACAATTTTTATCATCTTTTCCTTAATTTTGTAAGTTTACCCCTAAAAAGTGCAACTCCTTTACTCTAAATCTGAAATCATCTACTTTGTTTCACTAATTATGTAAAATTACCCCTAAAAACTATGTCTTCTTTCTCTTAATTATTTTATTATTTTTAAATTGTATCTTTGTTTTCTTAATTATGCAATTTCAGCCCTAAAACATGTGACTATTATTGAATAATTTTTGCAAAATTGTATCTTTAAAATTTTATCACGAATAAAATTAATACAATAATATTGTGTAACTTATTTATAAAATAACAATAAGAAAAATTTTATTGAAAAAAAATTAGAAATATTGTAATAGATAGGAGTATGGCTTCGCCATTTGACAGGCATGCCCGAACTCAACAAGGGAAGTGAGAATTTATACTCAAGTCCGCAACCACCGATTTTCAATGTGAGGATTACCTCACAACATTCGATAGTTGGTATAGAGTTTGGGTGCCCGTACCTCTGGCTACTTTCCAACCCCTATAATTACAATAAAATTCTAGGATGGCGATTATTAATATAACCAAAATTTAGTACAACAAAATCGGAAGGGCGGACAATGCCCTTACCGACATAAGGTTTATAAATTTTAGTAAGGGGTTGAGTGATAATTGATCCATCTTTAATAGATGGTTTAAGAAAATTTGGGTATTTAATTAAAATTGGAATATTATCAATTTTTGTAAAATCAAAAACTTGCTTCTTGAAATTTTCGTAGCAGAGACCTTGATTGTTGATGACATCCCAGTTGAGTGTCATTCCGCGGACTTTGAGAACATAGTCCGGCTCAGTATTGGGAGTAGACTTATTTTGAAGTTTCAAACCATACTGCTTTGCTCCTCCAGAGCAGTACTCCAAAATATCAAAGTCTGGGTACTCATCAGTAAACTGACCCAGATGAGGCCCTAATTCAAGTGGGCATTTGTTGTCTGGGTGGATGAAGATTAAAGAATCGGTGTCGGTGTATAGTAACTCACACCCCGGAGTCCTTACAACTTTCTGCATTGCGTGTAGAAGGTGAATTCTCGCTGCTGATGTGGTCCAGAGCGAGATTATGACGTTTGATGAGTCATGCTCCTCCACCCAATCTTTTTTCTTAATGTAGTCGATAAGCACAGTCCCATCTTCAGTCAATTCATGACAATGATTAACTGTTATTGCTGGGTCGTTACTCATTTTTACGTATTCACTTGGGTCGTCAGTAATTTTGCACTGGGAGAGTCCAAAGTTACGAAGTGAAAATCTTCCCCATAAGTTGTTAAGACACAATTTCGCTTGTGTCCGTTTCCCTTTGTTGGCCGCCATTTTCTCCCTCTCAATCTTAATTCCAAACATTTCCAGGCACTCTTTCATAAATTTATCTTCTTTCAATTTGTCACCCTTGATGGTGTTGTCAAAACCTGAAGAGTGAATTTTTTGGGTCATAAATTCATTGATGTAGGGTCTGAACAGTTTGTCGTCATAGTTTTTGAACTCCAGAACCCTGAAGAGTTTGGTCACCACATACCCCTCCTTGAGGGCTTCGTTTATCTCAATAGACGTACATGTGCTGACCCACCCTCGCTGTTTATTAGTGTGGGGGCAGCTGTAGTTTTCGTTGACATCACCTTTAGGGTACTCTTTTGCACAAGTAGAACACAGGGGGAACAGTAGTCGTTCATCTTCGTCTTCCCCAATTTTCATTGGTAAAACAGGAACGTCAATACTTCTCGGTGGTATGACGAATAATTTTAAAAGAGCAGTGTTGTAAGTGTTGTCTTCAGGTTTGGTCCAATTGACATCCATATTGATGACGTGGACTTCTGGATGCCCAACAGGATATCGAGTTGAGACGTTGATAAATGGGTAAAGGGAGGTGACATCGTAGTAAGAAATTTTTTGTCCATCCTCAGCCTTGTGGAATAACTTCAAGGGACCAGTTCTTCCCCCATAGAAGGCCTCTCTAATATTTATTGGTCCATCATCCAGATATTTTTTAAACATCTTCCTCATTTCATAATCTTTTGCTACCATATCAATGATTTGACACTCCCAATATACAGCCACTTTGACCCCCAAATTCCTAATAAAATTTAGACGTTTTTGGTCCTTCTCCCGCTGTTTTCCAGCTGTAAGACCTGTTGGAAGCTTAAGATCGTCGTCAGGATAGCATTTGATACATCCATGCCAGCAGCAACCATTGACTTCAATAGCCAATTTCTTTTCCTCAACCCATCCATCCAATTTATAATTTCCAATTTTCTTCTCCCCATTCTTTGAGTGTGCTGTCCTAATTGTAACGTTATTCTTCTCGCCATACCATTTCAGAAACTTGAGAGCAATTTTACTTTGGTTGTCGACGTTGTCGTAACCTTTTTCAGGAACAATTCCTAAATGGTTGGCTTTGAGGTGATTCATGCGGAAGTGCTTCATGCAGGCAGAAGCAATTGTCATAGCTTCACGAAGAACATCCAAGCCATTGGAGACTTCCAAAAATTCCGTTCTGAAGGCAATGAGCGCAGCCATGAGGATCTCCACATCGTTGATACAATATGCTGCTAGTTGTTCATTTAAGTTGAAGGGCTCATTTTTATGTTGGTCAAACCATTTATCGAACTGAGCCCTCTTTTCAGGCATCATCCCATTAGCAAGGTAATCTTCTTTTGTCGGAAAGATTTCTTTCCCATAATTCTTTGGGTTGTTGGCCAGGTGAGGGAAGAAAGGTTTGTCTTCCATTTTAAGAGCAAAGGCTGGTACTAGTGAAGCCAACGGCATTGGCATTAGATTGTATGTGTCTCTGAAGATGACCCAGCATTTTTTATTGTTCTTCACCTTCATCTCATACATTTTGTTACCTTTCTTTATCATTTCTGGGATTAGGCCTTTGAGATACAATGCTTTGAAGACTAGGACCATATCAAACCTTCCTCCAAAATGAGAGAAGGCTATTGTATCAGTAGAAAAATTAGTGATCCAGGTTACAAAATCAGTCAGAGGATCATTAGTAACATTTTGTTGGTCGACTTGAGTGTTGGAAAATGGTTGGTGGGAGAAGGTTATAGTTCGTTCTTCTCCGCAAATAGTACAATCGTTGTTTCCGTTACTAATACACTCGGGGCAGTTGATTTTTGCAGATATAAAATTCACTTCATGTAATTTCCCTTTTTCGCCTTGCCTGTGTTGCATGGTTTCAAAGTCAAAAGCGATGACTCGGTAGGGTTTTGGCTTCCTTTGAGTTAGAGATTTAATGTAACAACCTCTTTTTGGGTCATGGAAGCTAAAGCAGGTGGTGCAGTAACGTTCTGAACAAACATGACCAGTACGTCCATTCCGGTTGTTCACAGCAACATTCCATATAACTCCACATTTCTCACATTTCTTAGAGTTGTGGCAAAATTTAGATTTGAGATGATGGGTGTAGCACTCTTCATTATTAAATTCCTTAGAACAACCATTGCACCGTTTGAAGTAGTTATCTAAAGGCTGGCATGGGTAATTGGGTCCGATCCTGGAGCAATTTTGACATTTTGATGTGCAGGTGATAGAATGATCTTTTGGGCGGTTGTAAATTATCTCACATGATAGGCAATAAGGTTTACCGAATAAATCACTTGCTTTTCTAACTCCATCAAAATGATTATTGTTGTAATAAAGAAGAATTGGAGTAGTGTGATTTTCATCCCCATATTTAAAGATAGGTTTTTCATCTAATTCTCCAAAAATAAAAACTTTAAACAGGCCATCATTCCTTGAATTCCAATAATCAACCACCTTGGGTACCCATTCATTTGCATCATATGTTGTTAAATCAAGAGGAGCTCCTACATTTTCCATCAAGAATGTTGTATCATGTTCCAAACGTTTCTTCATTCCTAATCTGCTATGCATATAGTCATAGAACTTCCATTTCGGCCATGAGCATGTTGAAAATATAAAGGTGGCAGACAATGATCGAAATAAGCAGTAGTTGTCTGAATTAATAATTTTAATGAGGTTGTGGTCTTTAACTTTATGTCGAATTGGTGATGGATTTTTGCCACTACCATTAATAGAACGTGTTGTAGGCAGATGTTTTTTGTCAATAGCTGTAACAGAAACGGTAAATGGTTCACCCCATAACATTCCCTGATCCTGTTTTTTAGATTGGGCCACTTTTAGAAATTGGTTAAGAATTGAATCCACCGTGTTGGGAGAAATTTCACGTATTGGAATCCAAATATCTGATTCTAACAATTGACTGCTCACTGTACAGCCAAGTTGATCTGGATCAAGCTGATGACCATGACTCGTCTCCAATGTTTTGTCGATGCATTCTTGGAAAATTCCTTTTAATAAACCCTCAGGATCGGGTGGGATATTCGAAATTAAGAATTTAGTAGACAGTTTGGTAAGGTTAAATTTCCGGGTGATTTTAGTTTCTTCACCCAAATGTTTTACATAATCACCATCACCTTTCTGTAATAGATTATCAATGAAGAAATGTCGTGCTTTCTTCGAAGGTGGAGGAGACATTAATAATAAAATAAATTCAAAATTAGAGACTAATTCAAATGTATTAAATTTCTTAGAATTTTAAAGAATGAAGAAAGAAATGTGAAATCCTTTTTTAAGAAAATATTCCATAAAATAATTGATGTGTTGTAAAATAGGAATTTCACTGAAATTCCATTTCATTATTTTCCAGTCGCGGGAAAAAGCCTAAAAGAAATTTTGCATAAAAAAGCAAAAGAATTTGTAGAGAATAAAGAAAGAGCGAGCAAGTTTCGTAATAATGTTTAGTTTCGTAATAATACATACCTTTGTTTTTATTCCTTAGGATGTTGTCAAAAGAGAAATCCCTATATAAAACAATCTTTTTCTTTTATTTCCAGTCAAGAAGAGGAATTTTAAAAATAAATTTAACATAATTTAACTAAATAGGAAATGTTTTAAATTTTAAATAATATTTCGAGAAAGAAAATTAGCATAATATCTGGTAAAGAAAATTTTTAGGTATATAATTAGCAAGTTGTGAACGATGCGACTATGTTGTTTGTAGAATTTATTTTTTTAAACTCTTAATTTTTTAAATTATTAGTGGGTAATTAATAGAGAGGGGTAATTATAAAACTTTATTTATTTTCATTTATTTATTTTTCCTATTACAGTAATATTTTGTTTTTATAATTAAAGTCTATTTTCACTTTTCTACGCCTACTTTTTAATAATTTTTTGATCAATTTTTGCATGAGCTATTTTTTTACCTATTTATACTTTTTAAAGTTATTTCTATCTTCAACGTCTACTTTTTAAAAATTTACCCATTTTTAACTTTTCAACAATAATTTACAAATTTTTACAGTTTTTCTCTTGCATGACCTATTTCTAACCAATTTTCACTTTTCAACAATAATTTTGCAACATAATTATTGCATGACTGATTTTTACTATTTCTATTTCAACCGCCTACTTTTTAATAATTATTGTATTTTTTTAAGTATAAAGGGTAAAAATAATAAAATAAGATATTGTAAGAAAAGAAACTTAAAAAAAAAAAAGTTTAAGAAACAGTTTTAAAAAGAAAAAATATGGGAAATCTTGATTGAACCGTTTGAAAACTACTTATTGAACCCTAGAAACTTTGGGAAAATTTTTAGAATAAAATTTGGTGAAAAATGTGGGGAATGGTATGGTAAGGTGTTTTTTTAAAGTTCGCACCAAACCGTTTTGATCAAATTATCCCTTAAAGGGAAATCCTTAAACCTTTGGACTCTGACGACGGAATGGTTGAATGGTCGTTTAAAAATGTGGGAGGGGCTAAATGGTTGGACCCCGCTGCCCCCAACGACTTCTCGGGGTGACTAACTACTGATATACTTATATTTGTTTCTTAAAGCCATATTTTTAATTGATAATATTTTAGATTGCTTATTGTGTTTTTGTGAGTCTGATTTTTGTGTGAAGCTTAATACTTCATAAATTTAATTGCAAGTGTTTTTGTGAACTGTTCAATGGAATTGGATTTTTTGCGACAGGCTCAGTACAAACTTCTTGAGGGTGGTGAAAAATTTGATGTTTCGTCTCTTGACAAGGTTTATTTTATTATTTAATCAATATCTAAATAATTGAAGGTTGTTGGCTTGATGAACAATACAACCGGTGAGGCTCAGAAAGTTGCCTCTGATTTGTTGGCTCGATTTAAAGAAAATCCCGATTCGTGGACTAAAGTTGATGCTATTCTTGAATTGAGGTTATTAATGTGCAAGTTTAAATTTTGATTCTTTTTCAGTGCTTTACTTGAGACAAAATACTTTGGTTTGCAAATTCTCGAGCAGTTGATTAAGACTCGCTGGAAAGCCTTGCCAAGAGAGCAGTGTGAAGGCATTAAAGGATACATCGTTAACATGATTTTAGAAATTAGTTCTGATGCAGAAAAAAGTGAGAGAATGAAACTGCTTTTGCAAAAATTGAATTTAGTCTTAGTTCAGGTTCAATTGCTATTTGTTATTTTTCTATGCTCTTTTTAAGATCGTCAAGCAAGAATGGCCTCGTCTTTGGCCTTCTTTTATTTCTGACATTGTTGGCTCTAGCCGAAATGGCCAATCACTTTGTATGAATAACATGACAATTCTGCGTTTGTTAAGTGAGGAAGTCTTTGACTTCGGCACAGGTCTTACTACTGCTCGAGCTGTTCAACTTAAGCAGCAATTTTGTGGTCAATTTGAAGAAGTTTTTATGCTCTGCTATGAAATTCTTGTAATTTTATTTTAAAATATGGGTAAAAATTATTTTTCAGGAAAATTCTGATAATGCCCAGCTTGTCTATGCGACATTGAGTACTTTGCATGGCTTTTTGGACTGGATTCCTGTTGGTTATGTTTTTGAGAACAATCTGATCGATCTCATTTTAAAGGTTTTCTCAATAATTTTAAGTATATACTCTTAATTTTAGTTTCTTCCTTTTCCTGCTTTTCGTTCTATTTCTGTTCAGTGCCTCGTGGAGATTTCTTCAATTTCAACCGAAGATAGTCCACAATACGGCAGTCGACTTGTTCATTTGCTCAAGTCCGTCATGAATATTATTTCGCAACAACTGCCACTTACAGTCGATTTTGCTGATTCTTACGCTAAAGGGCGAAGTGAAGACCAGAAATTTATCTCCGATTTTGCGCAACTGATTGGCACTTTTCTCAAAGAACATTCCAATCTGGTTGAGGTTTTAGAGCTTAATCCAACACAAGAGCAGCTGGAGGTCAAGCAGGCACATGCATTGGCTCTTAAATATCTGTTAAAAATCGGTCAGGTTGAGGATGTTGAAGTTTTTAAGGTATCTTTGTTCCATTCATTATGGGGGTTTTTACATTAATATTTAATGTTTCTGGCTAATATGTTTTTGGTTAGTTAAACACCTAGAAGTTCCCAAATTTCGCAAGCGGCACTAAAATTGAGTTAGAAAGCAAATATTCGACATAAGATGGTGTTCCATACTCCAAGTATTCGCCTTTCTGAAATTTGACTTCTTGGATTGCCTTTTTATAATTTTTCTTTTTAGATTTGTCTTGACTACTGGAATTGGCTTACAATGGAACTCTTTCGTGAAAGTCCTTTTGAGCAATCCGAACACCCACTTATGGATACACTTCGACGTTATAATCGAAACGAGTCTCCGCGGCGTAAGATCTATGCAGAAGTTCTCTCTGATCTAAGAGTTCTGATGATTAGTCGAATGGCAAAACCTGAGGAGGTCATTATCGTTTTGAATGAGAACAACGAAGCAGTCCGTGAGCTTGTTAAGGATACGGATTCTATGATGCTTTATAAAACGATGCGTGAGACTTTGGGTTACTATTTTACTCGATAAATTTTTAAACTTAGTTTTCAGTACTTTTGACTCATCTTGATTACCGAGACACGGAACTGAAAATGACTGAAAAATTGCAGAACCAAGTGAATGGAACTGAATGGTCGTGGAAAAATTTAAACACAGTACGATTTGATTTTTTTTCTAAATTATTTTTAACCTCAAGTTGTGTTGGGCGATAGGTTCAATTAGTAGTTCGATGCACGAAGACGATGAAAAACGTTTCCTCGTGACGGTCATTCGAGGTTACCTTTTGTATTTTAATACTTTATGATTTATTACAATTATTAGATTTGCTTGGTCTTTGTGAGCAAAAGCGTGGAAAAGACAACAAGGCAGTGATAGCTTCTAACATAATGTATATACAACTTTTTAAAATTATTTTCGTTTTTCAGGTACGTGGTTGGGCAATACCCACGATTTTTGCGATGTCATTGGAAATTTTTGAAAACCGTTATAAATAAATTATTCGAGTTTATGCATGAGTCACATGAAGGAGTACAGGATATGGCCTGTGATACATTTATAAAAATTGTCATTAAATGTAAACTTCACTTTGTTGTTGTTAGTTTTACTTTTTTATGCTAATATATTATTTTTTAATTTATCAAGATACAAACTGGCGAGACCCAACCATTCATCGAAGAAATTTTGCAAAATTTGAACAACATTATTTGTGATCTTTCTCAGCCTCAAGTACATGTTTTCTTTGAAGCTGTTGGGCATATAATATTCGCAGCAAGTACTCACCAAGCACAGGAACGTTTGATCGAAAAATTAATGGTTCTTCCCAATTCAATTTGGACAGAAGCAATTGAGGCTGCTAGCAAAGTTTGACTTTAGATAATTTCGATTTAATTATTTAAATATTTTAAGGATGTTAGTATTTTCACTGATCCAGAGGTATTGAAAAATTTGACTCATATTTTGAAAACAAATGTTGCTGCCTGTAAATCAATTGGTGCTCCTTTCTTTAGCCAAGTATAAAATGTTTTTAAGATAAATAAAATGTATTCTTTTAGCTGAAACGCATTTTGAATGATATGTTAAGCATTTATCAAGTAATTTCTGGGAATCTAAACAAAGCTGTTAATGAACAAGGAGAGCATGTATTGAAATGGCCTTTGATTAAACATATGCGAGTTGTAAAGAAGGAAATTTTGACTCTTTTATCAACCTGGATTTCTAGAGCATTTGAGGGCAGAATTATGGTTTTTAATATTTACTTTTATTTTCAAATGTTTTTAGGAAGAGGCACTCTTACCAATTCCTCTTGTTATTGAAAACATTATTAAACCTTTGTTTAGCACTGTATTGCGTGATTATGAAATGAATGTTCCGCAAGCAAGAGAGCCTAAAGTTCTCTCTTTGCTTTCCATTACTATTGTATCATTGAAGGTTATTTTTCCAATTTTTTGGTTAGATTTATTTAACTTAATTTAAATTTAAAAGGAGGAAGCGTCTTCACAGGTGCCAGAAATACTTGATGCTGTATTTACTTGCACACTTGACATGATCAATAAAGATATGGAGGCATTTCCAGAACATCGAACAAATTTCTTTCAACTTCTGAAAGCCTTAAATACCCACTGTTTTAATGTGTTGATTTCATTACCTGATAAAGTTTTGGGTCTTATTATTCAGGCAATTGTTTGGGCAATAAAGCATACAATGCGTAATGTTGCTGAAAATGGTAATTTTTAAATAAATATTTATTTTTAAAATAATTTTTAAGGAATTGAAATTTTGCGTGATCTTCTTGGAAAAGTTGCGTCTATGACAGATAGAGCACAAGCACGGATTTTTTATCAGAAACATTTTATGACTATAATGGAACATGTTCTTGGTGTTTTAACTGATAATAATCAAGTTCAATTTGTTGGCAAGTTTTAATATTTTATTTTTTTTAATAAATTGTTTTTTGCTATTCATTTCTTGCTGTTCACAATTAAAATAATAACATTTTTAGGTTTGACAAATCTTGCTGAAACTGTCTGTATTCTTTTCCAAGCTGTGGAAAATACAATTGACATTCCTCTAAATCCATCAAATTCTTCACAATCAAATACAGATTTTGTTTATGAAACAATTACTACTCTTTTTGTGAATCACTTTAAAAATTTGACAGAGTGAGTGGCTTCTAAATAATGTTTTTTGCAACAATTAAATTTTAGACCTCAAATTGCTTTAACAGTGAAAGGATTTATCAGCTACAATCGTATACTTAACAAAATGCGTGAGCATATACGTGACTTTCTTGTCCAAATTCGTGTATGTATATCTCAATAATATTTTAAAAATATTTAAATAATTTTAGGAGGAAGCAGGAGATGACACTGCAGATCTTTTCTTGGAAGAGAAGGAAGCTGAGATTCAACGAATCCAGGCTGAAAAGCAAGCGATTCCTGGAGTACGTAATCCAAATGAACTTGTTGAGGAAGATATGGCATAAATTTATGATTTGATTGATTTTATTTGTGAAAAGGTGATTTTGCATTGAAGAAATTTTTAAAAGAATTACACAGGAAAAGTTTAAATACGTTTAGTAAAACAATAAAAAAATTTTTTAATTCTTTAGTTTAAAATCTTCTTTATGCACAACCACTTTGTTTATTCACGTTCTCATCGTTATTATTTATCTGATTTTAATTTAAAGGTAGCAAAAAATATTTTCGATTATGAATCGGTTTTTTGAAATTTTAAACAGAATTGTTATTTTAATAATATTTTGTTACCTTTATTTAAACGAAATACCTTCCATTTTATTATTGACTTTATTTTTAATGTCCTCTCATTCATCGATCTTCATTTATGGTATTTAAATTATAAAAAAGTTAAAAAAACACTCAACTGAAAGCCTTTGATTATTTTCAACATTTTAATAATACGTATATTCACCTCAATACAAATTAATTATTCTCTTTTTTCAAAGCTTTATTAATATTTCTGATAATGTTTTTAAATGTTTAAATGCGTGGAGTGAATTTTTGAAAATATGTGTTTGTTTCTCTTTATTGCGATTGTGTCTAAATTATAATATTCTTTTTTACATTTTTTTGATAATTACTTTTTCAGTTCTTTTGTGTTTTTATAATATTCTTATAGTAATTGAATTAATTTTTTATTACAAATACAAAATTAATTTAAATTGCTTTAATTAATTGTTGATTTTGCGTTTATTGTTTTGCTATTGTGTAGTGAACGACATATCGACTTTTTCTTAAGGAAAAAAAGTCGTTTTAAAAAAATCTACAATTATTCGCGAACGACTTTTTTTAATAAACAAAACGCCAGAACTACGTAAATATCGGAACGTCCCACTTGTGTACCGGCCGTTTGTGTACCTGGCCATATTTTGGCCTATAACTTTTTTGATTCTTAACCGACTTAAATTATTATTATATCAATCGAAAGCCCTGGATGTGAGGATTATTTTGCCAACAGGATTGATTTGATCAGATCATGTTATAAAAAGTTATATCTTGATAAATGCGATCAATCGTGATTTTGATCTTTATCTGTCTGTAACTTTTTGTATGATGATCTGATCAAATCAATCCTGTTGGCGAAAATAATCCTCACATCCAGGGCTTTCAATTGGTATATTATTTATTTAAATCAATTAAGAATTGAAAAAGTTATGGCCCAAAATATGGCCAGGTACACAAACGGCCGGTACACAATGATCCCCCGCCCGTAAATATCGATGTTTTACGCCAAACGATTGCGAAACGACTTTTTTGTATCTCTTTTTCTCTAATTTTTCATTATATTTCCTTTCTCTTTTTCTATTAATTTTCGTCTCTCTTGTTTTGTGCAGTCCATTTTTCTTGGAATCCAAAAACTTTGTAGGGCCATAACTTCCTTTATTTTTGTCTGTTCGAATTATTTTTGGCACCATTCGAAACAGCTCGAAAAGCTCCATCGAATGAAACATCAAACTTACAAAACATACCAATTTTGTATGTTTTGAATAATTAAAAGAAAACAATAGAAAAAAACGAAGAATTGATAAAAAAAATTATCATCTACTTGATTTGGGGTCGCTTTAGTATATTCCCACAGATTTTCCAGCGAAGATTCTGTTGAACATTTTCTAAAGAACATTTTCAAATGTAGTCGAATCTTGACTCTAGGCTTTTCTTGGGCTTTTTCGGGCATAGGGGGAAGTTAAAAACAAAATTTCAATAAAAAAATGAGACAAATAAACAAAAATTTATCAAAAAAACTAAAAGCCAATGTCTCGTTTCACTCATTAGATTTGTGGCCCTAAAGAGGGCCGTTTGGGTTGTGGCTTCTATTCCATTAAGACTGCAATTCAAAGGTTGCCAGGCAGAATCACTTCAACAGCAAATCGCCCGAGCACGTCGTTGTAACACTTAGAAAAATGAATTAAAAAATTGAAAAAATTTTAAAAAATTCCAAAAAAATAAGATTTAAAAAACAACCTCTCCTATTGTTTCCCCATTGTTGCAGCCGTAGGATGGAGTTCGACACACATCAAACAAGTTTTGATTAAACATAAAAAAGAAAAAATTTAGGAATGAAAAAAATTTAGCAACTAATTCTAGGATCAATGAAATCTGACCAATATTCAGATTTCTCAATATTCGGATACAGATCACTGAATATTGAGAAACCTTAGGGGCGGTTTTTTGGAGTAAAAAAGTTTATACAAACGATAGCTCATTCAAGTTTCAGGGTGCGAAATTCGGTTCGGGAAGTGTAATTTAACCCGGAAAGTAATTTACCCACAAATTATAATGCACCGAAAAACAAAATAACCTGATAATGGTTGCTGCTCCAAATGTCGTTGATGGTAAGTGTTTGCTTCTGAAAATTCACTACTACCATTAACAATAAGACTTCCAAATGTTGTACTAGGAGGCTAATGAGACAGGCATTAATTCTACAGCTTCAAAATTTCAATTTTTCTGCAATTTTCCTTCAAATTTCCTTTCCTACCTCCAAAGCCTTAAAAAAACTTGTAACCCCTAAAAATAAAAAAAATGAAATCCAATTTACAAAAAACCTCCTTACAAATTGAGAGACTGCACTGAACGAAAATTAATAGAAAAAGAGAAAGGAAATATAATGTGAAATTAGAGAAAAAGAGACACAAAAAAGTCGTTTCGCAATCGTTTGGCGCAAAACATCGATATTTACGTAGTTCTGGCGTTTTGTATTAAAAAAAAGTCGTTCGCGAATAAAAGTAGTTATTCGCCGCGAATCGACGAAAACGTAGATATGTCGTTCACTACTATTGTGTTGAGTGTATTTTGGATATTTAGTTCTCTGTACTTATAAATAAAATTCATTTTTGATAAGCTACATATTTACTCATAATAGACTTTCTTATTAGAGACAGTACTAACAATAAGTGATTGATAATAATCAAGTATTTTTGGAACAACGTATTGTGTTAGTAATTTTTAATTAGTAATTTAACGTTTGTTTTTTTTGTGTTTAATCAAAAATAAGACAATAACCGAACGTTAATTTTAGCAAATACAACAATAATCTTTATTTTTTAAAAATAATTTGTTTCAAATTTCAAATACATTTGAAGTATTTTGGATATTTAATTAGATTCATTTTCAATAAGAACTTTCACTATTGAAATAAATTTAAACGCCTTTTCGTTCCTTTTTGGCAATAATTTTCTTTTTATTTTCGTCGTCGTTTGTTGTTTCTACACTTCTTCGAATACCATTGCTTGGCCCTAAAAATTATTTTCTTTAAAAAAACTAAAAAATATTTCCTACAAATATTGTTTGTTGGCATTAAAGGAGGAGGGGGTATATTGCCAACATTTGATATCGGTCCATTTATTCCTCCAATACTTGTAGAGGGTTCAGTATGGATATAAGCACCAGAGAATGGAAGTGCTCCTCCTCCTCCTCCCATTTGTGGATTAAATTGTCCATATCCCCCCAAACCTTTAAAAAAAGAAAAATTTTTCTAAATTAACATTTAATTTTATTTTACTTCCAATTCCATAACCTGAAGGTGACAGATTTGCAGGATTCATTATATTTGAAGGAGAATTGCCAAGTAATGGAGGAAAGTAATTATTTATTGAAGGAAAATTTCCACCAATATTATTGCCGCTTTGAGGGCAGTAGGGAATGCAAAAATAGCTGCCAACTGGTGGGCCATTAATTACTGGATAGCCAGTTCCGTACATTGGAGGGGGTGGAGGGAGTGGAAGATTCATTGAAGGAGGTTGAGGAGGAAGTGAATTTATTGGAGAAATTGATGAGGATGGAGGTGAATAAAAAGGTAGAGAAGGAAGTGGTGGTGGTGGTGGTGGTGGGGGAATTAAAGGTGAAGGTGGTGGGGGTAATGGAAAGTTTGTTGTATATGGATTTGAAGAAATAGAAGAGGAAGAAGAAATTGGTGGTAATTGAGGAGAATAATAAGGATTTTGTGTTGGTGGTTGTGGTGGGGGTGGTGGTAATCCTGAAGGAGAACAAAGAAATCCTTTGGAAGAAAATAATAATAATTATTTTTTAGAAATTCTAAAAATAACCAGGTACTAGTCCATAATTAGGCCCATAAATATTTTTATTTCCATCTAAAGCTATTACAGAAATAAATAAAAATATAAAATTAATATAAATTTGGATAAAAATAAAATTATTAATATTTTTAAACATTTTTTTGAAATTTTTGTTAAAAATAATTATTATTTGGCCATTTTTATATGCTTTACGAAAAGATTTTTTAGAGGGAGGCATAGTTTTTGCAACTTTTTTATTTAGGCTAAGGATTAAGTTGTGATGGAGGGGGGGGGGTGGGGGAGATTTTGTGTTTAAACATATTAAAATACTAAAAATTATTTTTTTGAGGTTTTCCAGTCTATTGGGTTTTTCTAGAAAAAAAGTTTTTTTGTTCTATATTTTTGAGAGATTAGCTAATAAATATATATTTAGGAACATTGAATCAAAATCAAGTTTTTTGAAGGTTTATATTTTTAGAATTATTATATATTTTTATTTTTGTTGGTTGTTGCTATGGAAATAAATAAATAAATATTTATCTAAAATTTTTAAATAATTTTAAAAAATGGAAGTACAACAAAAAATTAATTTAAAAAATAATTTATATTTACAAATTTGTCTTTATTTCCATTTTCGTCTTCTTCCTTTTATTTTATTTTCACAAATTATTTGTTTTGGAATTAAGGTCTGTTTTTGATAAATTATTAAAAATTACTTTAAATTTATTTTATTTTGAATATTTACATCCAACATATCGAGTTGTTTTGTTGTCCCTTCATTTAATTTCTGTTTTTATTCAAATTATTCGTCCATTTCTTGGTTATTTGGGGAATTTAAAAGAAAAAGTTTGTTTTTAAAAAAATTATTTTTTAAATTAAAATTTAAATAAATAAATATACTTATGTGGCATGTTAAGGTAAAAAATTAAAAAAAAATACTTATAAATTTTATTACTTTTCCAAAAATTAATTATCATTAAATAATTCTTGATTTATTTATTCTAAATTCCCTTATACAAATTCTTAATTTTCTTTTATTCCAAAAAAGATGCCAGAATTGTCCGGTTTTTGGATTTTAACAGCTCTTTTACATTTACCTTCACAACTATTTCTGGGTTTAAATCCAGATATTTGGCAATTACCTTTAGAAAAATACACAATTTTATTAGAAATTATTTTTTCTTTTATTGAGGTTTTTTTAAATAAAAATAAAAACAATTAAAAATTTAAAAAAAAAAGTTGTTTACTTCAACTATTTTACTTCGTAAATTATCTCAACTTCAAATGGAAAGATTTAAAAGAGCAGCAACTTTAGCAATTCAAAATGAACAAAAATTGGAAGAAAATGAAAATAAAGAAAAATATTAAAAATATTTTTATTTAATTATTTTGTGGATATTTTTAAATTTTCTTTTAAAATATGTAATTACAGAAAAAACCAAATATTTATACATACAATTTCTGGACAATCAATCGAATTATTATCCCTCCTCCTTTCCCCCATTTCTCCATTCTCGATAATACATATTAATGAGGTACATAGTTTTGTAACCAGGGGTCGATCGGAATTTTGATTTCCGGCGCCTTCTTCATTTCCGATCGACCCTTGGCTGCAATAAAAAAAAATAAATAAATATTTACAAATTAATTACTTAAACTTTAGAAAATAAAATTTTATTTTTTATTTATGTAGACAAATAAAATATTTTTTTAAAGAAACAACTGTCGGCTGTCCTTTCTCAATAAAATCCGGTCATTTAAAGAAAAATAAAAAGAGTTTAAAAAATCTTTCCCCATCTGCTTTTTACTTTTTCTACCAAATCACTTTTTGCTATAATAATCCACAAAATAGATTTTATGGATTTTTGAATGATTTTCTTCATTTTTTAGTTTTTTTTTAAAAAATGAGTTTTCGAAATCGGCGTAAAAGTTCTGGGCCGAGTTCTAATTTTATGTCAATTCGACGCCGTTCAAGTGCGACACAAAGAGATTTTGAAATTTTGATGTTTCAAGTAATTTTTGTTTAAAATAAAAATTAAATTTAAAAAAATAAAAGAAAAAACAAAGATTTCCTGATTGGTTATTAATTATTATAATGCTTGGAGGGCCTGTTTGTTTAATTCTTTTTAGTTTAGAAATAACATCAAATAATTATATTGAGGTAGAGCATAATACTTACACAATATTTTATTCGTTTTTTAAAGTTATTTTCACTTTCTGGGCCTTTAATTGTTTTATTAGTCTCTCAACTTCAACTTTTCTTTTTATGGCATATCCCAGCAAAAGAATTAATTCAACTTACAGAAGAAGACCCCCCACAACCAATTAAACATAAAAATACTTCTTTCGAATCTTGTATTTTAATTTGTTTAATTTATTTGTTTGGGGCTCTTTTAAATTTATATCCAGGAGAATTAGTAAGTTAAAAATTAATTTAAATAAATTAACTAAAAAAGATCTTTGCCTACAATCCCAATTTTCGGGAATTGAGAAGGCAGGATCCTAGCCACATACAAACAAACAAATTAACTGGAATTATGACAAAAGAGAGTGGATTTAAATAGGTGGGGGTTTAGGATCTAATTTTAAGTTGCTTTGGGGCTCTATTTGAGAAAAGGTGGGGGTAATATAGGTAGATGATGTGAATTAACAAAAGATTTAGAAGACTGAAACAAAATTATCCATCCATGATCATACCCCATTAATTTTTGGGAAGAACTGTATTTATATTAAATATTCTCTCCCTTTTTTTAAAGGTATTTATTCATTGGACATCAATTTTGGCTTCTTTAAGCATTTTTTGTGTTTTACTTTTATTATTAATTTTTCTTTTTCTTCCATCCCAAGAAGATCAACGTTTTGATTTTTCTGTAATTTCACAAATATTTTATGGTCGCCAACTTCGACCTGTTTTGTTAACTGTTGACATTAAAGCTTTTATTACTTGTAGAATTGGGTTTACATTTTGGGCATTATATTTAATTTCTTCAATTTTTGAATATCAAAAACTTTATCCAAATGAAAAACCTTCATGTTAGATAAAATTTTAAATTAAAAACAAAAACTTTTCTCTTTTTTAAAGTCTCTTTATTAACAACATTTTTCCTTCAATTTTTTTATGTTTTGCGTAGACAATGGTTTGAACATTTACATACAGGATTGGATAATAAAAATGATAGAGCTGGTTTCTATAGAATTTGGATGGTCTTAAATTTATTAATTTGTTTATATCTTTTGCCTATTACTGTTGGAATTAAGGCAAAAAAAAATTAAAAAAAATTTTCTAAAAAATAATTTTGAAGGAACCAGAATTTGAACGTTCTTCCCCCCTTTTGTGTGGAATTTTATTTTTATTAGGTTTAGTCTTTCAATGGATTAATACAACGATTGATTTACAAAAATATAATTTTCGTCAAAATATTGGCCAATTAAAAATTGATGGGAAAGATCCTTTTTATATTTGTGCAAGATATAGAAGAGAAGGGGGAGAAATGGGAACAACTTTATTACTTGGTAATATTTTATTTAAAAAATTAAAAATTTGAGTAAAGTTTGACCACATTAAAAATGATATAGGCATTCAAAGTCAATAGGTATTAAGTGTGCAGGCCTTCAGGGATGACTCCTCGATTTTGCAGGAAGTAAATGAGGGATTGCAAAGTCATAGCCTCGATAGCACGTGCAGTAAAGCACCAGGTGGGGAACGAATTCCCTAGCAATAACTTCCAGGAGGTTGCAGTTTCACCTCCTGCCACCTCCTCTGGTATAGATAATTTTTTGAATATCGATTAATATTGTTTTGAAGGGTTTCTTAAAAATGATTTTGAATCCTAAGCTATAATTGTTTTGTTAATAAAAAAGGAATGCCTAAGACGTCCCTCTCTTTGTTAGTATCTAATTCTAAAATTAAATTTTGTTTTTTAATTTTTAAAAATTTTTTTATTTAAAAAGGAAGTGGTTATTGGGGTTTATGTAGACATCCAAATTATTTAACAGAATTTTTTACATTTCTTTGTTGGACATTACCTTGGAATGATTTATTAATTTATTTACCTTTAATTAGTTTATTTTTAATTCTTTGGTGGAGAATGGTTAGAGATGAAATAAGATGTTCAATTAAATATGGACAATTTTGGATACAACATTGCCAAAGAGTACCCTATTTGTTAATTCCAGGAATTTATTAAAAAATTAAATTTATTCTTTTAAATTTTAATAAAGAGATCAGAAAAAAATTAAGTATTTTGATTAAGAAATGACCAGAAAAATCGATTAAGACTAGACAAAAAATCTAAATATTTTAGAAACCTCTTCAAAATTTTTTTCTTACATTTTCCCATCCAATTCAATAATTTCTCTATAAATTTCATCCAAAAGAGAATCTTCATAAGCTGGCGGAGGTGAACGTCCACTTGTTATTGATGTATTTGAAGCAGCATTTCCATAGATTGGAGGGGGAATTATTGCTTGTTTTCCTTCTTTTTTAACTGCCAAATTTCTTTTTCGAATATTTCTTGCATCTAAAAAGAAATTTTAGAAAAATATTTAATTTAAATAAAACTTTGAATTGCTTTAAAATTTCTTTCTCTCAATCGAGCAGTAAGTCTTTGAATTACTCTTCTTGTACGTCTAATTTCACCAAAATTATCTAATTCCCATTGTTTACATTTATTAATTCCAACAATCATCGCTATAACCATTCCAATACAAAAAATAATTGTCGGAATAATTATTTCTGTGACAACATTTGTTGATGGAATATAAAATTGTTGTCCAGACCCGGCATTCATTTCTCGTCTGTAAAATTAAAAATATTTGAGTAAATTGTTTTGAATTTTCAGAAAACCTCAAAAAGTCTTTATTTTCTAGATAGTTTTCAACAGGCCACACTCAACAGGCTCGTTCCAACCCCTCTACCGTTTAGCCTATATAAATACTGTAAATTGTAAAAAGTCTCTCCCTTTCAACAAATCATTCTTCAATTCCAAATTCTTCAAATTCAATATCCACCAACAATGCTACAAATTATTTTCTTCTTTCTGTCATTTGTGCTATACCTCAACTTTTTATTCTACTTCACGTGCTGTAAAAATACCAAAAAGCAAAAAAAGACACGTTCTGCAAGCAAAAATGTTGTTGAGAAGAAATGTAACCACCAAAAGCCTATTCGGAAAGGTTCAGAACGGAAAGGATCAAATGATCGAAAAGGTTCAGATGACAAGAAGGGTTCAAAACGAAAGATTTCAGAACGAGAACATCCTCTTCAAAAAATCTCAGAAAAAGAAATCAAAACACAAAAGACAATAAAGGAAAATAATCAGAAAAAAGATGCTACTGTTAAATCAAAAGAAGAAGTTATCACAGTCAAAAAAGAGCAAGAAGTAAAAGTTGAAGTAAAGACTAAAGAGAAAGAAAAGCAAAATGAAGTGGAGAAAATTGCAGTCAATTCGGGTAGGGATTTTTAAAATAATTTTTATTAGAAAATAAAATGGTAGAACTTAAGTTTTCTGAAAAGTTGGGGATGAGTTTAGATGCTGTTTTAGATAATAACCTCGTAAAGTTAGAAAAAAATTACCGAGATCCTTAATGGAGTTGGATTTAGAAAGGTAGGAAGGAATGGATCCTGTGTAAATACAGAAAGTCCCAAAAATTGCTAAATAAATCCAGGATTTAGGTTCGAATAGTATATATACATATTCCCATTGGGTATCAATAAGGTCTTTTACTGCCCAAATCACTCACTCTCATAACACAATTACCTACATATAAATTTAATTTTTTCAGTTAAAATAGAAGAAATAAATGGAGGGATTGCTGTTTCTTTTAAAATGCCAAATGAAAACAGTTTGGCAACAATATCTGATCTTGAAAAATATAAAGAAGAAAATGCTCTTGCGAACGAGACAACTTCTAATTATGAGAAAACAGCTAAAACTATGAGAAAGTAAAAATTACTGTAATTTGTAATATTGTGTAATTTGTATTTGTATACTTACATTAATTATTGTATTTAAATGAATATATGTATGATGTTTAATAAAATTTGTTTTGTAGTTTTCGAATAGTCACTAATTTTATCAGTTCGTTCCTGACTGATAAGTTTTGATAAAAGATTCCAATTGTGACAACGTTGTGCAAGGACTCAACTGGTTAGTTCTCAACCGGTGGCGCTCAACTGGCTCGTACCGATTCACTTCGGTGAGGCATGGTTCGGCGCTTACGTTTCCGCGCCAGCTTAGTTTATTTTGTTGATTTTCGGCGCAGATTTGTTCATTCTTTGCTTATTTTTGATTTGATCTGATGAAATTTATTAACTGAACTTGAAAATTAACAAAAACATTTTTAACTTAGCGGGCACGGAAACGGGGGCGCCGAATCGTGTAATCGGATTTACTTCGATTTGTTTGGAGATATTTACATAATTTTATCGTTTTACTTTTCCATAGTTACAGATTCTTGAAAGTTAGTAATTATTTGAATAATGGGACGTCGTATTCGTGCACAGCGTAAAGGACGTGGAGGAATTTTCAAATCGCATAGTAAACATCGCAAAGGACCTGCCAAGCTTCGCCCTGTTGATTATTCTGAACGACATGGTTATATTCGAGGAATTATTAAGGATATAATTCATGACCCTGGGCGTGGTGCTCCTCTTGCTGTTGTTCACTTTCGTGATCCTTATAAATACCGAATAAAGAAGGAATTGATGATTGCGGCAGAAGGTTTATATACTGGGCAATTTATTTATTGTGGCAAAAAAGGTTTATTTGATAAATAGAAGAAGATAATAATTTTTTAAATTTATTTAGCCCAAGTTCAAATTGGAAATGTTATGCCTATTGGAGAATTACCTGAAGGGACGACTGTCTGTAATCTTGAGGAAAAGGCTGGAGACCGTGGCCGATTAGCTAGAACTTCAGGTTTATTATACTTTAAATATCTAAAATGATATCTGGCCCCGATTTTTTATTAGGAGGAAATTTCTAAACAAGAAAATTTTTACTATTAGAATAGGGACAGTTTAAAAATCAAATTTTTAACAAGTTTATTATAAATTTAAGGAAACTATGCTACTGTCATTGCTCACAAACCGGATGTTAAACGTACACGTATTCGTCTTCCTTCTGGAGCCAAAAAAGTTGTTCCTTCTGCGAATCGTGCGATGATTGGTATCTTATTATTAAAAATAATTTACAATAAAATATGGGTCACCCTGCTCATTTTTCATTTCCTTGTATTTTTGCGTAAGGTTTTGTAACTTTGTTTGAGTTAGAAAAAATTTGCCGGTAAAATTATGGTTTAATTCTCGATAAAAATAGAAATTATTGAGCCCAAACAATGTTATTGAATCCAAAAGTTATTACCGAAATAGGTTTTTGTAAACAAGAGAAGAAGAATCTAAGAGTTTTGAAATTACGGAAAAATTTTAATGATTCTTTCTTTATTATTAATATCTCGAATTATTAATATTATTAATATTATTAATATCTCTTTAAAATTTATAGGTATTGTTGCTGGTGGTGGTCGTACAGACAAACCATTATTAAAGGCTGGTCGTTCTTATCACAAATATAAAGCAAAACGTAATTCCTGGCCAAAAGTTCGTGGTGTTGCAATGAATCCAGTTGAGCATCCACACGGAGGTGGAAACCATCAACATATTGGACATCCATCAACGGTGAAGAGAGGTACAAGTGCTGGACGTAAAGTTGGATTAATTGCTGCTCGCCGAACTGGACGTATTCGTGGAGGTAAACCAGAGAAGAGAGGTAAAGACGAAGCAATGTAGAGACAAAAAAATAGAAGGAACTTTTTGGTGTGTTAATTTTTTTGATTTAATTTGTGGATGTTAATTGTTATGTTGGGAAAAGATAAAATTGTTATTCAATATTTTTTTTTAAATTGTGAGCTAGTTGGTAGGGCAAAATTCTTTTTAAAACGATGAAGATTCGGAATGTATTTGAGAGTTTTATTGTTAATTAGTAAGATCGAGTCATGCATCGACATATACTTGGCCTGAAAAAGGCTGAGAAAAAGACCCGAGAAGATTTACAAAATGTTTGTGGTTCTCCTTTTTCCAACCCTTTATTATATCTACAGAATTGTTAGACTTACTCAATTTCACTCCCTGTGGCATACTAAAATGAGAAGACACTAATAAAGAAAAAATTAATTTTTGCAAATTAACCAGAATAAAATAACTCACTAGGTTCGAAAATAACATGGTCTTACCAAAACACGGAGCGACAAAAACACGGAATATCACCCGCGGAGATGGCTGTGGACCGAGATATAGGTTCCCGAACATTGAAAAACCATATAGGGAGTTAACCCTAAACCTTTGTTTACCCCACAATCTTTACCGTTATTAACGATTTAGTGTTACTTATTAGCCCTTAATTATTGACAAAAAAACATTTTTTATTCAATTATTTTATTTTTTCATTAATATTTGAAGGGGGAGGATTTATTATTAAGCTATTTAATTGTGAATTTGTTGTATGTAATAATGTTTTGACTTTAATTGTTGGAGAAACAAGCTCAGAATTATTATCATCAATCCATTCTATTTGTCCATCAGATTCGATTGTTATTGCTTTTGTTTTTGGATTAAATGCAACAGAAGAGTTATTTTTTGGGCCTTCTTTTCTCCATTTCCAACTTTTGGTACTTTTAATTCCCGCACCTTTTAATAATGTTGAAGAATGTCTTCTTCTGTAATGCCTAATATATTGACATTTAACTATAATAAATATAATTGTTAAAGTAATAATAGCTCCAATTAAGCAAATAATTGTTAATGCAAGGAAAACATCGTTCATTTCCCATCTTGTTAACGCCATTTTTTGATATTTTTTAATGATAGTAAAACTTAAAAAATAATTTTTAAAAAATAAAATTAGAAATATGTATGTAGTATACAGATAAAACTGCCTGGACACCCACCTCCTCGGGGAAGAGTTATAATGGGAGTCAGCTGTGGATATGAATTAAATCGAATACTTACAAATATTTTTAATTAAATAGTTTAATTCCAGCTAAGATAATCAGAGCATTTTAAGTTAGATTTTTTGATGTTTCGGAAGCAATAGTAGAGTTAACATGGCATTACTTAAATAATTAAATATTTAGTGATAAAAATTAGGACAATTGACTCAAGATAAGCCCTAAAAGTTAAGGTTTTAACTTAATGTAATGCCAGGGAAAGCCCGGCAAAATTTGGCCCAGAAGCCCTATGGCCCTGACGCTTTAAAACCCCGAAAAAAAGTCCTGAAGCTTAAAACTCCTATTAAAAATTAAGTTTGTTGTGCAAAAACAATATTTTGAGGATAAGAGAAATGAAGAACAAATTTTAAGAAAATGTTAGCAGACAACAAGAATGCCCTGTCAATATAAGCTATTCATTGATTTTAAATATCCTTGGTGATTTGAGTGAGTCCACAAGGAAGTGCACATATCTTTTACTTCTCTCACTTTAAATCCTTTCTTCAAATAATAGATTTAAACGTTTAGGTTATAATATGATGAGTAAAGGAAATGCTGATTTAGTGTATATTTTTTCAAAAAGATTAATAAATTGTCATAATAAGAAAACTCTAATTTGTTAAAATTAAATTTATTACACTACCGGTCAAAAGTAATAGTATTCAGGGCTGTGCGTCATGGCGTTTGGCGTTTTGCGTTTTGGCGTTAATTTTGGCCGATTTTTGGCGTTTTGCGTTTGGCGTGATTTTCCGATTTTGGCGCGCCAAACGCCAAAAATATACACCCCTAATGATGGAAATTTTTGAAATAAATGGAGAAAGGGATGATCGAAAAAGGAAATTTTTCTGCCTACAGTCATCCAAAATTCTCAAAATTTTCGCCTGCGGCGCATAAAAAATGAAGAAATCTGCTGCTTGGACTTCCAAAATTTTCAAAATTTTCGCCTGCGGCGCTTAAATGAGGAAGCCCTTATCTTAAACTAATAGATGGTAGAAAAAAACTTTAGTCCCGTCAATCGTTTACTCTCTTCATGACCTCTGTTACACTCATTACTCCCTTTATCCCTTCATATCCACCTTAATCTCAAGGAGTTCTATGAATTTCTTATTTTTTAAAATTTTTTAAAGGATGAATTTCGGCTTCTTTACCTCCAAAATTCTCAAAAATTTCGCTCCGGCGGTAAAAAAAGGATGAATTCTGGCTTCTGGGAATCTTGAAAATTCAAAAAATTTCGCCTGCGGCGCTAAAATGAGATGAAGAGTGGTTTTTAAGTCATTATAGACTCTAAAAATTTTGGCGTTTGGCGTTTGGCGTTTTGGCGTTAATTTTGGCCGATTTTTGGCGTTTGGCGTTTGGCGTGTTTTTAAAATTTGAAAAATTGGCGTTTGGCGTTTGGCGCGCCACGCGAAAATTTTGGCGCACAGCCCTGATAGTATTCCTAGGTATGAAAATTTTTCATTTCTGGGTATGAAAAAGCAATATTTCTGGGGGCATTTAGATGTTTTTTTCTACATCGGAAGTATAACGACCTACAATCTTTCTTTGAATTTTTCATCGAAAATAAGATTAATTCTTTCTTGTAGCAAATTTCAAAGGCCTTCAAATTAACCCGAAATGAAAATTCAAAATAATTCATAAGGGGTCGAAAATATTTTTTAAAGAGCCTTACATCTGTTTTCGTTGATTTTCAATGTATCAGGATCTCGATCTTGGGTAAAGATTTGAGCTGTTTTTTCGAACTATTTATTTTTGTAAATTTTTCCTAATGTTAAAAATAACTTTTTAGGGAAGTGAATTTATATTTTTGTAGAGGTCCATTAGAAAGAAAGTTGTAAATTTTAAATTTGATATTAAAGCACATAATAAAGATGCCAAAAAAGATTGGAATTTTGATAATAATTCGAAAGCTTTAAGTTTTCCAAATTTTTGGTGAACCTATGTAACTTTTGTGGAGTAATGTAAAAATTTTCTCAAAATACTTTTGTTGTCTTCTCTCAACTTTAAATGAGTGACACCTTTAGGGTGGCCCCTTGGGCTTCATCTAATATGTAGTAATCTCGATAATCAACGTTCTTTTACGATGGAGGATAAAAGTATAAAGTAGTTTCAGAAAGGTGAATTCGAAGTGAGGGAGGAGCCCCCCCCCCCCTCTCCTAATTAAAGTAGAGGCCGACTGGCAGGAGCATTAAAGTTGTCTGTCACGAGCAGTTAAGTATTCATTGTTTAGTGGCGTTATGAATTGTGACAATTTATACAATGGCTAAAAAATAAATAATCGAAATACATATTCGTTTGATGCATCATCAACTTTGTTTAATCTACAAAAAATAAAACAAGTTTTTTCGAATAAGAATGTATGATCGTTTAAATATTTTCTAAATTTAAATTAAAAGTTAATTTTCTCAAAATTTTTAAGAAAGCTTGTTGTCAAAGTATTTGTAAAATACAGATATAACTATTTCCTTTTTTTGACTGTCAATTAATAAAAATGGCTGCAATGAACCCAGAATAGTAAGTAGTTATAATTTAATCAGACCTGCTCAAGGATACTGACTTTGGTATCCGTAGCTGGACATTTACGGCGGATACAGGCGGATATCCGCAGGCGTCTTGATATTATCTGTATCCATATCCATGAGCAGGTCTGAATTTAATTATAAATAAACAATTTATTTTTAAATTCCAAATTCAATTCATTTTAGCGATTATTTATTCAAATTGTTGCTTATTGGTGATTCTGGTGTTGGCAAGTCTTGTATACTCCTCAGATTTGCTGATGACACATACACAGAGTCATATATTTCTACAATTGGTGTTGACTTTGTATGACAGTTTTCTCTAAAATAATTTTATTTTTTTCTTTTTAGAAAATTCGTACAATTGAATTGGAGGGAAAGACAATTAAGCTACAAATTGTAAATTTATTTTTAATATAAAATTACTTTTCTTTCCAGTGGGATACGGCCGGTCAGGAGCGTTTCCGTACAATAACTTCTAGTTATTACCGGGGCGCTCATGGAATAATTGTCGTTTATGATATTACTGACCAGGTTTGTTTTTTAATATTTTTTTAATTAAAAATGTTTAAAAAAGGATTCTTTCAACAATGTCAAACAATGGTTGCAGGAAATTGATCGATATGCTTCTGAGAGTGTGAACAAATTGTTGGTTGGTAATAAATGCGATTTGACTAATAAACGTGCTATCGAGACTAATGTTGCGAAGGTTTTTTTGTTTAAATTATTTATAAAAATATATTTTTGGTCCATTCACGATTCTTGTGAATTCACGTTCCATAAATTGTTTGGATTACGAGTTTTTATCCCTGTTATTTATTATTTTTTTGTGTAAATAATTTAATTCAATCATTCCATCAAACAGTTTTTTAATAGAATTCAGACAATTTTTTATTTAATCCATATTTATTTATCCTATTTTCGATATTTAGCACACAGTTTTTTGTTAGATTCTTTAATGTATTTTTAGGAATATGCTGATCAATTGAACATTCCATTTTTGGAAACCTCAGCAAAGAATTCGACAAATGTTGAACAGGTTAAATCTTTATTTTTAATATAATTTTACAAAAAATATTTTTAAGGCATTCACGACTATGGCAACTGAAATTAAAAATCGTATGGGTCCACTGCAACAGACTGGAGCAAATGCTTCTGCGGTGCGCATTGGGCCGTCGCAACCTGTTCAGGATAAGAAATCTGGAGGATGTTGCTAAATGAAAGGGAAGAGCTTGAAGAGAGAGAAGTTGTGACGATTGGGGAAGGAATAAAAAAATATATTTAAATTTGTATGGAAAAAATAAAAGGACTTGGAATTTTATGTATTTTTGTTAATTTGAGGGATTGAAAATGTTTTTTTCTCTTATTTTTTGTAATGAAATCTTTTTTTTTGAAAGTTTTTGGGGATTTTTTTCTAGACATTGAAATTAATTTTATGGGGAAAATTGAGAAATTTAATTTTCAAGATTTTCTCAAAATTAATTAAAAATAAGATTTCAAAACAAAAATCATTCCCTCCCACCTTCCTCGAATTTTTGCTTAAAACTGTCCGTTTTCCTCTCCGATTATATATGTGTGTTGTGTTGCATCATTGCTTTTCAATTGTATTTCCTATTCTAGAAATACCTTTGGACATAAATATATTCAATTATGTAAAATTAATTTTTATAAGGGTCAAGGGACTTTCATTTAATTTGTTAAAATACTTATTCTATATCCCCCTCATTTATTCTTCCCTCAAATAAAAAAATGGATTTAGTAAGGAATATTTAAAGTAGAATTTATTTAAAAATAACACAAATCTTTTATTTTTTTCTAACAAAAATTGGGTTTTTATTTAAAAAAGATTGTATTAAATAATTAAAAATAAAAATTATTTTTAAATAAATAAATAGTTTAGAATATTCTAAAAAAAAGTTTTTTTAAAGATTTTTTTTCGAAAATAAATTTTAAATTTAAATATAGATGGAAACAAAACAATTCCCCCATTTTTATGCTTATTATAATTATTTGGCTTCGCTTATACAACAACAAACATGGGAAGCTGCACAAAAATATGGAGTGTTAATAAGTTGTAATGATTCTCATGCTGATTTAAAATTCCTTCAGGTTTGTAAATTATTTTAATAAAATTTTAGAAAATTATTTTTGTTAAAAAAATCTAAATCTACGGGGACTTAAAGTTGTCTTTTATGTTCATGTCTGGTTTCTATGTATGTCATTGTGAACATACCATTCCGGGATTAAAAGTTGAATAGAAACAATTGTTTGTATTACAAATTGGGAACTTATTCCCTTCCCCCAGTCTCTTGACAGATTTTTGACGACTTAACAAATTTAATATTTTTTAAGATTCCATCGCCAGAAAAACGTTATTATGACAGAAGTGTAACAAAATGGCCAGTATTTGGGGATTTAGTGCTGATGCATTTAAATGTTTTGAATAATTTAAGTGAAAAAAATTGGCATTCGGCATTTATTCACCAAACAAATGTTTTTTAAAAATTAAATAAAATCAAAATAATTAATTTTTTAGATGTTAAAAATATTTAATCAAGAAATTTTACAAAAAGAAAAAGATGCTAATTGGTTTTGCCCGATACTTTATATTCTTTGTAGTGATCTTAGATTAGTGGCTAAAATTGTAAAATAAAATTAAAAGTTTCTTTTTTTTAATTAAAAATAAAATTAAAAGGCAGATAAACAAGGATGTACTTTATGGAGTCGAAGTGATACACAAACCTCAACATTCTATGAAGAAGCAGGTTAGCTATTTTATTCAATTTTAAATCACTCTCTTATATTTTAAGCTTCGCCAATAATGGAAAGTTACAGAATTTGTGTTGCGGAAAGGTTTTTTTATCTTTTTCCAAATAAAAAAAGTTTTTCTAAGTCGTTTGGCTGCCGAAACAACAAAAAAGATTGCAATACTTAATTTAACAAATCAATTATTTCGAATTTATTTTGGGGTAATTTATTAATTAAATTTCAAAAATTTAATTAAAAAACAGATTAATCGTCTTCATTTACTAAAACCTTTAATTCGAAGTATTGACCACGTTGGGGATTTATATCAACGTTTTTCTATGGCAGATAAAATTACTTATAAATATTTTTTGGGAAGAAAAGCAATGTTTGATATGGTAAAAAATTGTGAAGAATTTTTTAAATAAAAAAAATTTTTCAAAGGATTTGGCAAAAGCTGAGGACTCTTTAACTTTTTCTTTTGAAAATTGTCCGGCAAATTATGTTAGAAATAAACGTTTAATTCTCATGTATTTAATTCCCGTTAAAATGTTTTTGGGGCATATGCCGACACAACAATTACTTTTAAATTATAATTTACAACAATTTTCTGATGTTGTTACGAGTGTTAAGTAAGAAAGGGAGGGGATTAAATTTAAAAAATAATTTTTTTGAAAGAGATGGAAATCTTCGAGAATTAAATGCAGCATTACATAAACATCAACATTTCTTTATTAAATGTGGAATATTTTTAATGCTTGAAAAACTTAAAGGAACAACTTACAGAAATTTGTTTAAAAAAATGTTTGTTTATTTAATCTTTCCTTTAAAAAAACTTGAAAATAGCCAGCATTATTATAAAAAACCGAGAGCTAAAAATAAATTCCTCGCTTAATTTGCCGCAAATGATTTTTAATTTAAGTAATTTATCCTTCTTTTAAACTTTTTACTAGAAAGTCTCATTGTATAATATATTTTTAATTTTTTTAAATTTCAGTGCTCTTATTTTAAACACTCATTTAATTAAATTGGAGGCATTTCTTGCTATACTTCATTTTCTTGGGACAGATATTGATGCTGATGAATTAGCTTGTATTTTGGCTAATTTAATTGCCCAAGTAATTTTTAATTATTTTTTAAAAAATTTTAATTTTTAGAAAAAAATAAAGGGATATATTTCACATCAAAAACAAACTTTGGTTATTGCCAAACAGAAAGCATTTCCTCCACTTTCGGCAAAATAAAATATAATTTTTTTTAATTTTTGTTTTGTTAAAAAATGTAGGGTAGACCCCGAGCCTTCTGGGGAGGAAGTGTCGGGTTTCGGAGTTTGTCGGGGTAGAGCCTTCGGGGTTTTTTTGACGGGGTGCTACCCTAAAAGATGTGTTAAATTATATTTTTTTGCATATGTTTGTCTTATAAAAAATAAAAATTTATGTAAAAAAACTAATCAAAATATTAATTAATTATAAGGATATAAGGAAAAAAGTTTTGCTTCTTTGCGCGCAATTTCCAGTTTTTGCCATCGCTATATTTTGTCTCTACTTTCCCCAAATATGTCATTTAAAGGAAAAACAAAAATTATTAAAAATGTTTAATAAATTTATTTTTAATATAATTTTTTGTTTTTTATTATTTAATTTTGTATTTGGACAAAGGGATTTTCCTGCTGTTCATCCAAGGTATAAAGGAATTATTTTGTGTTACAAAAATATTTTTTCAAAAAAAAAAGATCTTTATTGCTTACAAGTAACAGTAAAAACGGGGAACCCTCTTTCGAGCAAAGAGTTAAAGCTTTCCCTGCAAGAACAACAACAAACAAAACTCCCTTATTTTCCCGATCAACTTTTAAATTATTTAATAACCCAACATCAACAACAACAGGAAAACCAGCATTTACCGGAAAACCGGGTAAAAATTAAAAAAAGCAAAATTGACAGTAATTTTAAATTAATCAAAAAAGGTTGTCAAGTAGATATTGTTCTTTTAATTGATATGTCTGGAGGGGCTGTAGACAAAAGAGAAAAGTATTTAGCTTTGGCTTCTGATTTAGTTAGACAATTAGATATTGGAGTATATTCGGCACAAGTACTTTTTTAAATAAAAATAAATTTTCTCTTTAATTTTAAAAAGGTTGCTTTAGTTCGTTATTCGGGTAAAGGCAGAACAGACACAGTTTTTCGATTAAAAAATAGACACAATCAAACATCATTAATTAATGGTAGAATAAATTTTAAAATAAAATCAGAAAAAAAATATTTTTTAAGAATTATCACAAATTCAAGCCTTAGGGGGGACAACTCGAACAAAAGAAGCGATGTTACACGCTAAAAGGGAATTTGAAAAAAAATTTGGGGGACGTGAAAAAGCTGATAAAATAATGATTGTATTTACTGATGGATATAGTCAAGATGATCCTTCAGATATTGCAGCAGATTTTAGAAAAGAAAGAATTCATATATATGCTGTTGCTGTGGAAGACGATGAATTAAAGCCTAATGAAGAACAATTAAAAGTTATTGCCAGTGATCCACAAGTAGGGATTAAAAATTAAAAGAAAGGAAATATTCTTTCTTTCTTTTTTTAGTCGGTAGTGATTGGAACTGCACAATTTGTTAATCTTAAACAAAAAGTTGCACAACCACGTTGTCGACAGTAGAAAGAAAAAATAAAGTAAATTAGCAATTGTGAGGGAATCTCTTCTATTTTAATTTGTAGTGGACTAAAAGTATAAGAAAGGCTAAAGTGTTGGGAGGTAAAATATTAAAATATATTTAATTAACAATTCTTTTAATTTTTTTTATTAAAAATCTCTAAAAATATAAAATATACACATACTATTTTATATAATTTCCTGACAATATAAAATAATTAAACCGGGCTAAACATAAAATAATAAAATAAACAATTTTCCACTATTCATTTTATGATTGATTGAAAATAAAAATATTTTTGATATTTTTTGAAGGAAAATGTGTATATAAACAAAAAACATGTTTTTGCTCAATACTCAAATCAAAGAAAATAAAGGAAAATAAATTCAAAAAATAAAACATTCTTTCCCTTAAATTAATTTCTCGAAAAGAATGCCAAAAGGAAAATTTAAACAAAAACAGAGGTTTTTATTTTTGTGGCAAAGATATAAAATAATTACACCGGGGGATTTGTGAGGATTTTCTAGAAAAAAAGATATGCTGAAATAATTAATATTTAAATAGAAGAGAGGTGTTTTTGGATGGACGGAAGGAAACGAATCGTTTAAAAAAGAAAATAAAAATATTTTTTAAAATAATCTAAAAAATTTAAAAAGAGGTAAAAAATGGGGGAGAGGAAAGAAAATTAGGCAAAAAAAGTTTCTAACAATTAAAAGAAATATTTGAGTGCTACCTGCTTTGTTTGAGTAATTAATTTAAAAAATATAAGCGAAAGGAGGGGAGGAGTAATTTTAGAGAAATAAAAGGGGGTTTTGTACAAAAAATTTTTAAAAATTAAAAATAAGTATTTGAAAGGAGAAATTAAAGAATATACTGCTAATTTGTTAATTAAAAAATTTAGAAACAAAAAGTTATCCCTCTACCAAATATAAACTATTTAAATAACCTTTCCTAAATTCTTTTCTATTTAACAAAATTTCCTCTTCGAAAACAAGTTTTTAACTTTCAAATTAGCATTTATATGTACATATTTTAGTAATTAAAGAAAAAAAAGTTTTAAAGAAGGCAGTTTTTTGTTTGTTTGTTTTTAACGCTTAAAATTACCAAAATTATTATAAATTTACATCGATCAAGAAAAATAGATGGCGAGTATTTTTTAAATTTTACTTCGTCTAAATATTTTCCAAAATATTTAATTGATGTTATGGGGGGATTTAAAGAAAAATTATTTTTTTTCTAAATTCCCGGCCATCTAGCTGCTGCAGTAGCTGCAGCATTTGTTTGTTGCGCAGCATCATTGGCAGCTACAGCAGCAGCAGCTACTTGTTGCTGTCCATATTGAAGCATATTTCTTAATAAACCAAAGCCAGAATTTGCACAAGTAAAAGGCTGTTGTTGTTGTTGCTGTATTTGTCTACCCAAAGAATTTAAAGCAGCCATTGCTGCCTGAGCACTAGGCAATCCTTGTGGCATTCCCAAAGCTACAGAACTGGCTACTAAAGCTCCAGCAAGTGGATTAGAAGCAGCGGCCGCGGCTGCAGCAGCAACTGCTTGATTTGTTTCTTGATTGTTTGAAAGGGAAGAAGAAGAAATAATTTCTTTTTTTGTAGGGACTGGAAAAGCTAGAGAAGATTGTTGTTGTTGTTGAGATTTTTGTAAAGCTTCCGCCTCAGCCCTAGCTTTCATTGCGTGAGACTTCATGTGAGCATTTAATGATTTAACTTTTTCAAATCTGTTGGGGAAAAGAAAATTTTTTTATTAAAAATAATTATTTACATATATTGTTTTTCATCCCCCAAAAAGTGTTTGTGTTTATTTTAAAAATACATATATTCTTTTTATTTTTATTTAATATATTTGTTTCTAACATTTTTACAAAAAAATATTTAAAAAAAACCGTTTTTCGCATAGCCTACAATGGAAGAAACCATCAGCCTGTGGTTGGGCACCTTTTTTAACTGCTGCTCCATGCTGGCCTTTTACCTAAAAATATTTGTGTTTTAGGTGGGGAATTATTTTAATTAAAAACTTCACTTAAAATTATCTAAGTAAATTGGAAATTTCTAGTCACTTTATTATAAAGAGTGTTCAGTAAAGTTAATAACCACCCAACTTTTAAGATGTAAATTAGTTTTGGAAATTTTGACATAATTTGCCAAGGGTTTCAGGGAAACGCCATTAACAGGATCCGAAAGGTAATTTTAACTATTAGGACCCTCTCTGGTTCTATCTATAAGTAAGGACCGAATGAATAATTAAAATAAAAATATTCTTAAATTTACTTTATGTGTTCCTCCAAAATGATTATTATTACGGCCTTCAAAATCTGCTGTCATTATTGTTTCCAATCCACCTAATAATCCCCCATCATGATGATTGCCAACACCAAAATGTGTTTCGTTGTTATTTGAGGTAGTTGAGGAAGAGGGGGACGGAAATATTCCATCAGTTCCGTGTAACCACGGATAATTAGAATTATTTAAAGAATTATTACTTCCACCATTAAAATGTTGTTGTAATGAGGTATTTTGGTGTTGTTGATTTCCAAGTAAAACAGAAAGTTGATTTAATGAAGATATCCCTCCTCCTCCCCCTTCATTTCCAAGTATATTTGAAGCAGAAATGGGGATTGGGGCTATTGGGGGAGGACATTGTTGATTTCCAGATAATTTTCTGTTTGTTGTTGGAGAACAACATTCCATTCCTTGAATATTTACATTTAAAAGAGAAGGATTTGTTATATCAGATTCTGTTTCCGATAATTCTTCGTCCTGTTTTCCATCAATTCTTAACAATTCATTTTCGTCTTCCCCTGAATTTGTAATTAAATTATCTATTCCACACCGCATCCTTTTCATTGGATGTTTTTGTAATTGTTGTTGACGAGTGTCAAATGAGGCAAGATCCAACTGAAAATAAAAAAGTTTAAAATAAAATATTTATCAAAATATCTCCTCATCCCCTCCCCCATCCACCCCCCCAATTACCTACAAAAATCCAAATAAAAAATAATTTCAATTAAAAACAAACTTGTTGTTCAAGCAATTGCCTTTTCCTTCTTAAATTTCTCAATTTTCTATAATCATCTGGACACGCCTTCTTCCAAGTATAATAAAAGGCTACACATTCATAAACACTTCTATTCCCTAATTCAGAAGAAACTTGTTGAAAATCTTTTTCCGATTTATATATTGCATCCTTTTTTAAAAAAATATTTTTTAAAGAAAAATTATATCTTTTTTACTTGAAAAGAAGCAATTTCTTCGGGGCTCCAATTATCTACATCAACATAACGACTGTTATAAATTGCTGGATATTGTTCCCAATCAAGTGTATCACAACGTAGTAAATCCATAACAGCAGCTTGGAGATTTCCTCTATTTTCTGCCAATATATGTAAAGCTAATTCTTTATTTCTTCCAGATTTTGGGAGGGCTACAGAACAAGCTAAAGTTTCATAAGCAGCCAAAGCTTGTTGAGAAATATGTTCGATACTTGAGGCATTAAATAAACGTTCGTCTCTGTCAGGGATTGCTTCTTAAATAAATTTATTTTTAACTTAAATAGATGGAAGAAGAATCCCTTAGGGTCAGGAGAATAAACAAAGAAGATTAATTAGTTAACCTCTTTCTTCAGAGGAAATAGCTCTGTCAGCCCATTTCTTAACTCTTGCTTGAAAACTCTTTCCAAGATTAATATGTGGAATAGCATCACTTTCTGGTGGTTTTTCCACTCCATCCCCACTTTCTGAACTTTGTTGTTCTTCCATTGAAACAGAGGACATTTTTCTGATAAAATCATCATTTGGAGAAGTAAATGCCCCCAACGATAATTTTCCTCCATGACGAATACTCATACGCCCATAATTGCCAAATATAGATGCTTTATGTGAACGATTAGAAGAGGAAGATTGTTTACGTAACTGTTCCAGTTCAACAACAAAAGAAAACTAAAAAAGAATAATTAGAGTGGTCAAGGTTTGTTTGGGGAGGTGGAAAGTTAATTCAACACTTCGGAATTGAAATTTGTATCAGGGTTCGGAGCCAGGGTCGGGGATGATGAGAAAATATTAAAAATTGTTAACTGCATGAATATGTATCTAACAAAAGAATATGTATCCCCCCTTTCTTCTTACTGTTTTTATCATTACTGATAAAAAAAGTAAATTAAGACATTTTAATTTGAATTAGATCAGATCGTATATCAGACGCTTAAAATGAAACTTGGCCATTAAATCTTTGTATTTCCCCCAAGATCACTATTTGAGGTCGGGATAACGTTACGCTTCACTTATAGCAGGGTTTTAATGCGCGGACGGATAATTACCTCATTGTTGGAAGGACCATCTGCAGCAAATAAAATCCCATTTTTTCTGGGTGGTCTTAAATCGCCATTTGTTGCTGTTTGTGGAGATGTTATTTTTGTATTTTTATCAATTCCACTACCATTCTGCATTTCCCCCCTTTCTTCTTCCCCTCCTCCTTTTTTTAATTTTCCATCTTCATCAATTCTCATTTCTTCTTCTTCCTCCACAATTTCTTCTTTTACAATAATTTCATTTTTTAAATTTTTTGTTGTCATTTCCTCTTCTTCTCCAAAAATTTCTCGTCTTCTCCCCCTTCCTAAAATTTCCTCTCCTCCTTCCAGTGTTCCTTTACAATTTTTATTACTGCCGTTAGCGCCAATATTGCTATTGGCACTTTGATAAACTAAAGTAGACGCCAGTGCAGAATATTTTCGAACTAGAAAAAAATATTATTTTTTAAAAAATTATTTCTTATTTTCTTCAAAATATTGTGCAAAATTAGATATAGAAAACAAAAATAATTTATAAAAACTTTCAAAAAAAAGAAGAAATGACTAAGAAAAGAGTTTTGTTGCATAAAAGAGCCTTTACAAAGAAGTCATGCAAATGTTAACGAAAAAGAGAGAAGAAACATTTAAAAATAAAATTACTGTAAACACAACAAACAATTAAGTTGTTTTTTTGGAATAAATTGAAAATATTAAATATTTTTTAGCATTTAATAAAAAAAATTAGTAAGAAAATAGGGAAATCTTTTTTTTTCAAAAAATGTCAATTTTTGTTTACAATTTATGTAATAAAAACAAATTATTACTGTTGAGAGGTTTGTAAGGAAAAAATTACGGAAAAACGTCATTTTCTAATAAAAATATTTAATTGATTTTTATTTAAAATTAATTTTAAAAATTTGTAGAGAAAATAAAGTTCAAAAATAAGTACATATTTTTGAAAAGAGTAAATTATTAAAAATGTGAGAGTCAGAAATAGCAAAATAAATTTTACAATTAATTTCTCTTTAATAATTATTTCTTTTAAAATCTAAAAATTCTTTTAATTTCCCCTATTTTTCAATTAAACAATAAAAATGTCTAATTTTTATTATCAGTTAAAATAAACAATAAAATTTTAACAGCATTAAAAAAATAACAAGAAGATGAGAAATCTGTGTGCAAAAAAAGGAGAAAAGAGAAAAATAAATTTTATGGAAGGAATACAAACAAATAAGTCCTTCTTTTTCATTCACCGACACAAATGCAGTAGCAGCGGATTTTGTGAAGGAAAGAGGAAAGAAGGAGGTTAAAGTTAGATGGAAAAAGAGAACGGCCGGCTGGTAGTGAATATATACTCTTTTTACAAAACATTAAATAACAGCAGCTGTTGCTGACACAAAAAAAAGTAAACACACGCGCGCATAAACTTTAATTTGTAAATACAACTAAAATCAGCCATCGATTTTAAAGCAAAGAGAAAAAAAGGAAAAAAATCAAGGAGAAAAAATGAAGAAATAAAAGTGATTAAATAGCCAAAAATTTTAATTAAGAGTCTGGAAATTTTAAAAATAGAAAAAAAGTCAAAGTTAAAAACTTTGAGTGTTTAATTGTCCTGTAACTTTCAAAATTCCTTTTTTTGAGTAAAAATTAAAGAAATATATATTAAAAAATCAGGTGAAAATAGGGGAGAGGAAGTAGAGATTTTGGAAGAAAAAATATTTTGTTTGGAAATTTAAAAGAAGCGTTTAATCGGCAAACAAAATCATCAATTGTAAAAAGGAAAGAAGAAAATATAATGTTGATTGATGAAGAGAAGGGAAGTGTGAAGGGGGAAAAGAAAAATATATAAAAGATTAAAAGCAAATTGTTGGGCCAAAAACATGAGCGGCGCAAAAAAAAATATTTGTCCAATTGAAAAATAAGAAGAGATTTAGAAAAAAAGTATAGAAATGAACTGATTTAAAATATTTAAAAATAAAAAGGAGAAAAAGAGAGGAGAGAAAGGACAAAAATTTGTGTGAAATAAAAGAGGGGGGAATTTAATATTTTGTTGCAGACTTTCTGTTTAGGATTGATAATTATTATCCTTTTTATGGAAGTCTTTTAAAAAAACAAAAATTTGAAAAAAAAATGAGGAAAGGAATAAAAGTAAAATATATGTTGCAACAAAAAATTAGTGGAGAGAGAGAGGGGGGGGGGTGATTATTGTTTTTGTTTAAAAAGTTTTTTTCAAAGATTTGAAATCAAAATCAGTAATTTATCTAATAAATAGAAAAAGGTTTTTACAAGAAAAAAATCTTTATTAAGGGTCTACATTTAAAGTAATCTTTAATAAATAAAAATTAAAAGAAAAGCTAAAATATTTAAATGTAGTTGTGGTTGTGGGGTGACAGCTTGTGCAAAGCTAGTAAAACATTTCTAAATATAAAAGGGCAAATATTAATTGTTGCTGTGAATGAGAGAAAAGGGGGTAAATGATTTGTGAGAGAAAAAGAAATAAAAGTTCTCAAACAAAAATAATGTGTGTGTGTTCTCTTTTTTTTGAGAAATATTAAAAATAAAAATCCTTTAAAAAATAATTAATTAAAAAAACAAAACAAAGAAATTAAAGTTTTTTTGGAATCTATTTAAGGGATTTGTTTGTTAGAAATAAAAAAAATTAATTTAAAAAGTTTATAATAAATTGATGAAATTTATAATTAAAAAATAGTTCCATTTTTTAATGAGAGTTTTCATAATTGCACTTTCTCAAATTTTTTTTTGCTAAAAAATTTTGAAATAAAAATTGCGCAAATAAATGATTAAATAATATGTTGATATCAGTTAAGAAACAAGGAATTCCGAATTTTTCTGACTACGGGATTTCTAACAACTGTTCAGACAACAATTAGTAGTGGATATAAATGAGGATTTATTTGAAAAAAGACACAGAAGTTGCGCGTCAATTGGAAGGACATTTTAAATATTAATAGTTTTCCTATTGCAGAAAACACCAAATTTGAGAATTTATAGTTATGAGACAAAAATGGACATAAAAGTAAATAAAGAAAAAATAAAAATGAGAAAAAGGCTGTTTTTGGGAGCTGTGGAAACGAGACTTAATTAAATATAAACATTTATAAAAGTACAGATTTAGAAAGAAAATTTTTGTGTTATTCTAAGAAAATGCCTAAAGAGAAAAGTGTAAATAAATATAAAATAATAACTCGGCGGCAATATATTCTCAACTATTTGCAAGTTCACAAAAAAATGAAATTGAATGACTGACATTAGCTAAAGTAAATGCAAAAATGTGTATGTATATTTTAGCAAATTTGTATGTATGTGTATAAACGTGCACAGCCGGTCGGTGTTTTGCTAAAGAGTGGTGTGGTGGTAGTAAAGGGCTTTGGCTCTTTCTGACTTTGCGAGATTGGACCTAAAAAGGTAAAAAGAGAGGAGAGGTTGGAAGATAAAAAAAGGAAAAGAAGATAAAAAGCAAAGAATGTGACTGGAAAGGGCATCGAGAATCAACTGATGTGTGGTTGCAGTCTGCATTTCTCTTTTTTTCTATTTTTTACTTTTATCCCTAAAAAATTCAGAAGAGTTTATTTGATGGACAAAACGAATGTTAAAGAAAAAAAGAAAAAAAGGATGGCCATTTTTGTTGTCTATCTTCATTTTCATATAGAATAGTTGCCAGCTGGCTGGTGTGTCTGACTTGCACTTTTATATATATAAACGTTCGTCTTCTGCTAATTTTTTTCTTTTTTTTTCTTTTCTGTCATTCTCTTTTGGCCAAATCCATTTTTTGTTTTTCTCTCTTTTCCTTTTAAATTTTTGAAAAAAATTTTAGCGGTCACGAGTTGGCGTTGGAGGATAAAAAAAGGGGAAGTGGTTTTACGTGCAAGAGCAAATTGAAAGTTGAAGAAGGGTTGAAGAAGAATTGTGTGAAAAGAGAGAATGAGAAGAGAGAGGAAAATAAATCCCGACTCCGAATAAAAAAATAAATAAATAAGAGAAGAATTCAAAAATGAATGCGCAATAAAAATAGAGAAGAAAATATTAAAAGTGCATACCTAATTGTAAATAAAAACAGACTTAATTATAAAGGATTGATTTGAAAAATAAAATTATTTTTAAATAAAAGAAAGTAGTAGTAAATATTTTTTTAACAATAATTTATTGTTAGTTACATAAATTTAGTAAAAATTAAGTTTGTTACTTCTCAGAAGTATAAACCTAGTTTCCTATACTATTTAAGTGCTTCACCGAATAATTTTGTTTTTTTTATAAAAATTAAACTCCTCCATAAATCTAGCTTTTCCCTTCCTTATTTTTTTAATAATAAAATTTCAAGTTTTGTAAAAGATAAAAATGCAGCCTATTTTGAAAAATAAATAATTATTTAAAAAAACATTTAAATATTTATATTAAAATACTAAATATTTAAGAAAAAGATTTCTTTGTTCTCTTCCAAAAACTTTGTCTATACATTAACCCCCCATATCCATCCATCAATTCACCCTCCTTTTTATCTTCACCCTCCCCATTCATTTTGTCTTTTTTTTATTTTAAAATTTTTAGAGTTTCGAGAAAAAGGGGAAAATGAACACATGAAAAGTTTATTGGTTGGTTGTTCTTTTTTTTATTTAAAAAAGAAAGGGAAGAGTTGAAGATTTTTTACTTTTTGCTGTTTGAATGTGGTAAAAAAGAGAAAAATTAAAAGAGAAAATTTAAAAAAAATTTGTGAAAAAAAAGATAAAAAAAATAAAATGAAGAAAAGTGCAAATAAATAAAGAGGAAAAGAGAGAGAAGAGAGAGAAGAAAAAAGATTTGCAACCAGTTTAGCCATAAAAATAAAAATTTATGATGAGAGAGATTTGAATTGAAATTTAAAATAAAAAATTAAAAAAGGGGAATAATTCTTTCTCAAAATTTAAATTAAAAAAACAAACAAACATTCTTTCTGGGAAGAAGCAATTTTATTAAAAAGCCCGCTTCCTTGCCTCATTGGTGAAAGAATTGGTGGAGGTGTATATGGCTTAAATGGAGGTAGAGTCCCAGAAGGAGTTGTTGGATTTAAAGAATCAGAAGAGTAACGGCAAGGGGAACGTAATTGGGAATTAAAACGGCGAAGTGATGGAGTTGTTAATGAAGTTTTGGAATTATTTTTATTAAAATTATTTTCTGTTTGTCGGCCATTTCCGTTTGTTGGGGGTAAAACAATTGACTAAAAAAAATAAATAATTTTTAAAAATATTTTTATAGAAATATGTACTTTTGTTCTTCTATAATCTTGTTTATTATTTATTCCAAAATTATTTGAATTATCTATTAAATTATTATTTTGTTGTGTTGAAGGAGAAGGAGAAGGAACACAAAATATAGCTGTTGAATGTGACCGAATAATGTTATTATTTGGTTGGTGTTTTTGTTGTTGGATTATTCCATCATTTAAATTTTGTGGCAAATAATTATTTGGTTGGTGGTGATGAGGATGGTGATGATATGTTTGATGATCATTACTTTAAGTTAAATATAAATAGTTACATTCTGTTTTAAAATTACAGTAATATTTAAGGTATCACGACTTACATTTGCGCCGCCATATCTAAAAAATAACTGCTGGACCTCATTATACTAGTGCACCCCTTATATTTAAAAAATGGTACCCAGGAACTAAAGGAAGTTCAGCAAGTACAATAGGTAATTCTGGCTAGGGTTGATGGCCCCTTAAGATAAAAACGAAATCAGCAAGAAACGAATCACAGTTTCAACGAATCACCAGGGAGGATTATCAATTCGTGGGATAATTATAATGGGAGGAGGTTCAAATGCTTTTCAAAAAAATTTACAAATGAAGTGCTGGCATTGATTCTTTTCTCATTGGCGGTATTTGCCAATATGTTTGTTGTTGCTGCCAGTCATTATGTTGAAAATGTTGTTGTTGAAATTGTTGAGAATTTGGATGTTGATGAAAATTAAATTGTTGGTGTTGTTGTTCAGACATTTGTTGTTGATTAATTGATGAATTTAATAAATTTAGAGAATTTTCGTTAAATGTTTGGGGTTGGGGTGAATGTTGAAAAGAGGATTTTTGGGGATGTTGATATATTAATGTTGATTGTTGTTGTTGTTGTTGTTGAATATTAGGGGTTGGGAAATAACTGAAAAATTGAAAGGAAATTTAAAAAGAAAATTGATTAAATTAAAGAGAATTTTCTTAATGAATATTGGCCTAGGGTGTTACGAAAATTTTTAAAGGCAAGGAAAATTATTTTATATTTATTATACCGAAGGCAATGAAAATTAATTTTTAATTTTTTGTTAGAGGAACCAGATCCGGGCCAATTACTCAACCAAGCTATTAATTTTATTTTAAAACCCAAAAATTAACTACTTCCAATTATTTCCAATAATTTAAAATACATATAATTTAATAAAAAGTTAAAAATCGATTATTCTGGCAAAAATTGAGAGAGTAATTCAGACAAGACAAATGTCATTATTTCTTCCTTTTTCTCTCTCTCTCTAAACTCAGTTTTTTAGGGCCAAAAATATTTTTACAACAAATATAAAAGATAAACTGATATATGTATACTTATAAAAGAATTATTAAAAAAAATAAAATTAGAATACTATTTAATTTAAAAAACAAATAAATTAAAGAAAAGATTATAAATTTTAATAATTTTATAATATAAAGAAATATTTTTTTTGTTTTGTTTAATAAATTTACATTGTTTATATTTAAATTAAAAAAAACAAAAGCAATTTTTCCTTAAAAATTAAAAACAACAAAGTTTCTTTTCTTTTTTTAAATAATTTAATCTTTTTAAGCTCAAAAGGTTTATTTGATGTTGTAAATGTATATTTATTTGAAAAAAAAAAGATTTTTTTCTTATTAGTTAATATATATTTTATTATTTTGTTCGCCATTTTTAATGCAAAATATTTCGAAAAAAGAGAAAAATACAAAAAATATATGTATTTCTATTCTCTATTTTCAACTTTTGGCACCAACCGGCGGAGGAAGGTAGGCAGTAAGTAAGTAAGAGTGTTCCTTCCACGTCCTCAAGAGTGTTTAAATTTATATATTTCTCTCTTTCTGTTTTTTTCTCTGTTAAATATAAACGAGAAATTTTGTTTTTAGACCAAAAATAAATTTCCGATAAAAAAAGAAATATTTAGGTAAAAAGAATTTAAAAAGTAAAAAAAATTCGTGAGAAATAATGACTGAAATTTTGTAAATAGTAATACCTAAATAATTATAACAAATTTAGAAATGGTTTTTAAAATTTAATTTTTAAAAAATTAAATAATTTATTTGTTTTTAGTTAAACAATTTTTTAATTTAAAAAAATTTTTTTTAAATACAATGAAGAGAGAGAGAGAAAAGGAAGGGGAAGGAGAGAGTGTTGCAAGAAACACAAGAGAAGGAAGACTAGCAAGTGGCATTGAAATCGATAGGCTGGCAATAATGAAAAGAATATTAGAAAGGAAGGAGGGAGGGGAGGAGGGGGGGGGGAGGGGAACATAAAAATGTTTGAAATTTATTTTAAAAAATATTTTTTTGTTTAATTTACAGAGTGCGGCTAATTGTCAGCCGCTTTTGTTTTGGCTATAACTTTTTTTTTGTTTTTGACAAAAATCAGAAATTCTTTTTTACTGGATTCCCGACACTTTAGAAAACTTTTTGATATTAAATACTGAAAATTTTGTTCTTGATAGGAAAGAGAAACGAGCCAGAACATCGGGAATATTTAAAAACATTTTTCATCCCAAAGTTGATCATTTAATCCTGGCCGTTATCAAAAATTTTGTTTAAACTTTTTTGTCATTAAACATTAAATATTCTCCATATATGTAATATATAATAATTACCAATTCTGATATTCACACACAAAAAATATTTTATTTTTATTTCAACAAAAAATAAATATTTCTCAATTCTAAACTATGGCCCAATTAAATTTTAAATATTTTTTCTTCAATTTTTATTAGACAATACACATATGTACATATTAGCTGATTTAAATGAGAGATATTGAAGATTTAATCGAAACATTTCTTTTTCCCAAAGAAGAAGGGGTATTTTTATAATTTTAAAGTAAAAAAATAAAAAAAAATATAAATTCAAAATAAAAGATTTCCGATTAAAAAGGAGGAAAGGGGAGAGTATATAAGGGGCTTGATAATTTTTAAAGTTTTTTTTTTGAAATATTTAAATTTATTTATTACCTTTGTTGATGTTGAATATGTTGATTAAATGGTTGTTGACAATTATTTATTTGTTTTGAATAATTGTTGTTATTATTTATTTGTTGTTCATTTAATTGCATCGGAATTATTTGTTCAAATTCATCACAAATTTTTTGTTGGGAAGAATTAGTATTTAAAAAATTCATTTTCTTCTTCCTTGTTTAACTCCTTTAAAAAAAGGGCTTAAAAAATAAGGAAATTAAAAATTAAATTAAATATTTAAAAAATAAAATCGATGAAGACAAAAAATTATTATTAAATTTTATATAAATATTAACATATTAAATATATAAATAATTTTTATTTATTTATTTTACATAATTAAATATTTAAATTTAAATAAAATAATTTAAATTAATTATTGAAGACATTTTTTTAAAATAAATTACAAGTTGAATAAATAAATAAATATTTTTGGAAGAAATTACATATTTAAATTTACAAGCAAAATTTGGAAATTTAATTTAAAAATAAATTGATTATTAAATTAAATTAAAAATAAAAATATTTTGAGAAATTCGCTAAATATAATTAAATGGAAAATGATAATAATCGGTCATATTTAGGTCGATCGAGAACGTAGAACAACAATTTTTAGGTTAAAAATAAATAAATATATTTAAATATTGGACAGATAAAAGAAGATATATCAAATTAAAAATAAATTTATTTTTAAATAAATATAAAATTATTTTTATTTATTTCCTGCTTTCTAAAAGAAAAATAAATATAAAAAAATATGTAATAAATACATAAATATATTAAATAATAATCCCAATAAAAATAATTTTTGTTTTAGTAAAAAATGAAAACAAAAAATAATAAAATAAAATAAATATTTAAATAAAGTAAAATTAAAAAATTAATTATTTTAAATTGATGAGCTATAAAATAATTATTTTAATTAATGCGGTATTTACTCAAATAATTACCCCCTTCTTATTAAATACCTCCTTACCCAGTATTCAAATACATAAATGAGGTAAATAAAATTAACAAAAAAAAGGAATCAATATTTTGGGACAATTAAAGTAAACTTTAAAAACTGCAGGAAATAAAAAAAGAAAAAAAATTTAAAAAGGTTTTGAGGGGAAATACAAATAAATATGTATATACAAAATACCCTTAACTAATTTAAAAAAAGACAAGAGAGAGAATACTTGGAATATATAAACAAAAAAACGTAAAAAGACTAGACCGAAAAACCAAGAATAGTAGTTGTTTGGGGCCAAGGAAGGTTTTTAAACTTCAAACATTTTTAGAGAAATTGTGAGAAGAGAGGAGAATGAAAAAAGAAGGAAAAAAGAGTTGTTTGTTGGTCTATTAAAATATATATGTAAATATTACCTGAAATAAATATTTTTTTAAATGTTTTGTTTGTTTGTTGTTATAAAATATACTATAGATGTGAAAATAAAGAAAAAATACAAGAAAATATAAATATCGAGAGAAGAAATCGAGAACAGAAAAGATGTACAAAAATTGTTTTTTTGTTTTTAACAATTATGTAGATAATTAAAAATAAAAAACAATAATAACAGAAAAGTTTTGATATTTTTAAAAAAGAATTTTTGTAAAGTTTTTTTTATTTAATAAAAGTTTAAATTTACTAAAGAGAAAAGAATATACATATTTTTAAGTTAGTTTTGTTGGCAAGACTAAATATATTAAAAAATTATTGAAAAATAATTTTTATAAAAAAAGTAAAAGCCAGTCAATATATTAAAGAAAAATTAATTCTTTTTTCAATTTACTTAATCTCTAATAAATTTATTTATTAAAGCTTTTTGTGTTAGAGACAAATTGGCATAGCGCGGTTATGTAAAAATTAAAAGGAAAGGGATTGAAAATTTTAAAAAGAAAAAATTGTTAGTTAAAACAAAAAATGTTCGCATTTTCCTTATGGTGAAGGAATTAAGCTAAAATAAATTTTTTGTTTAATTTATAGTGACGCTCGCGGCATTAAAAAATTATTCGAGAAAAGAAAACTTGAAAAGAAAAAAAAATGAAAGAAAATAAAAAAATTAATATAGGTATGTACATATATGTATTTTTCTCTAAATATTTGAATAAAAGAAAGTATGTAGATAAGTTGGCACATTTAAAAGGCATATGTATGTAAGGTAAGGGGATTTTATATTTAATAGTTATTAAATAATGCAAATTTATTGAAAATTTAAATTAACAATTAAATAAACATTGTAAAATAATTATCTAATTATATGTATATGTAGTAGCTAATTATTTCGATTTTTTATTCAGTTCTTTCAGTTTTCGATTTTTAATTTTCGTTTCAGCAAATCTCTAGTGTTTATAAATTTCAGATCTGCTCATACTCGTACTCGTACAGTGTGTTAAGAAATTATAACCCCCCTTGAATTTTTTGAGTTTCTTACCTTCCCGATGTCGGATTGTTCTGAAATTTCTGTAGTAGTGTTGTAATGTATATTAAATAATATTTACAAAATATCTTTAAAAATTTCTGATCTCAGACTTTTTTTGGACGTTTTTTCCAAAAAATCAGTGTTAATAAATTATAACCCCCCTTTAAAAAAATTTTTTTAACGCATGGAATATCTCTACAAAAATTTTTCTGAACAGGTCTACCAATATAGATAAGAAATACAAAAGAAATGAAGTTCCTATGTATTCCCATCATCGAGATCTCGAAATCCGAAAATCAACGGAAAACCGGGGAAGGCGTCTTTAAAAAATATTTTCGTCCCCTTACAGATGAAATAAAAATTTTATTTTAGGCTTAGCTGAAAGCCCTTGAAATTTACTACAAGATAGTTTTTATCTCATTAAACAGAAAAAATTTACCGTCGAGAAACAAAGTGATAAATTTTCAAGTCATAGAAATCACTCAAACGCCCCCAAAAATTGATGGAAATTTAACCTATAAATTAAACTCATAGT